TTTTATTTAGGACATGACTTGTTCTTAAAAGTCTCGTATTTTGAAGCAGTACATTGCAGAGAGCCTGAAAGTGAACATGCTTCATTTGATTCATTTGAGTCAAAGTTGGCTGATGGCTTCACACATCAGTATTTTCTTGCAAGAACATCAAAGTAGATTGCCAGTGCAATACTTTACTCCAAAAGGTTTTTTTTTCCCTTTAATTACCAGACTAGTTTACAATCCTGAGATTTCTTAAGGTCTCTTATCCAGCCGTAATGACATCAAATACTACTTAAGTTTTTGACAATCAACTAGTAAGTACCAACTAACAGCAATGATAAATGTTGAAAGAAATTTTTAAAAATGAAGCGAAGCCAGATTATAAAAGCCGACATTTTCTAAAAGTTCTAGACTTTATAATTCAAAACAGATCTTGGGATTTCCTAAAGTAAGATTAAGGTTTATTCATATAATGTTTGCAGGAAGCTTGTCTCTTACCACAGCAATATCTCCTCTTCAAACATCTAACTTAAAGTCAACGCGAAAAAGAAAATCCCCAAGTGCCTTGTTTCATATACAGTACCAATAATTTACTGGGAGACACCCATAGCTGACACATCGGTTATGAATACTTGCCAAGATGTTTATACTGAAAATTATTTGCATTTTGCGATGTAAAATACCTACCAGAAATGGAAGACTGGTTTCTTTTTAGAGAGCTTTCATGTGAAGGATAGCATTAGGAGAGATGGAAAAGGACGAAGTAAAATTTAAAAAATAAAAATGTAAAAACATAGTGTTAGAAAAGATGGCAAAGGCCAAAGGAAGGGATGAGGTTGTACACATTCATATTCTATTTTCCCATCAGGATGTAGGTGTTCAAACAAAAGGCTTCATGGAAAAACATATGATTTTGCTGAAGCCCTGTAATCATTGCGGTGAATGAAAAAGAGTGTAAAAATATCAGGCTAGAAACCAGGAAGCTAAGTTCTAGTTGAACCTTGGTCATAAAGCTGGCTGGGTGACTTTGACCAGTCATTCCCAGCCCAGTTCAACTCACTTGTTTTTGTGGGGAAAATAGGAGGAGGAGGGACTATTAGATATGTTTGCCATCTTGAGTTATTTATAAAATTAACAAAAGCAAGATTTAAAAAAAAAATCTTTAAAAATGGAAAGGCTACATATTAAAACTCAGAAAATACCTCTTCTTGGTTTAATATACAGATCCATTATACAAGGGTTCAGATGCTGTGATTCTTCAAAATAATTATTCACTCTTCAAATCAAATCAACCTTTATTATCAAAGTACAACATGTATACAATGAGATTTCAAAAATTAGGGAATAGAAAGGATGCTCATAAAATGTGTGTGTGTGCGAGTGTGTGTGTTAAGAGAGAGAGGGGGGAGGAGGGAGGGAGGGAGAGAGAGAGAGGGAAGGGGAGAGAGAGAGAGAGAGAGAGAGAGAGAGAAAGAGAGAGAAGACTTTAATGGGTCTCATCCAACAACATGTTGTTCAATGGTGCAAGGTTCCACACTTAGGCAGGAAAAACCAAATGCACAGGTACAAAAAAGGTGATATCTGGCTCACCAATAGTTCTTGGCAGAAGGATCTGGGTGTATAGATTGATCACAGGATTAACATGAGCTAGCAATGTGCCACAACTGCTAAGAAAGTTAATGAAGTTGAAGCTTCATCAATAGAGATATACAATTAGTTCTCGACTTACAACTACAATTGAGCCTAAACGTTCTGTTGCTAAGTGAGATAGTTAAGTGAAATTTGCCCCATTTTATGACCTTTCTTGCCACAGTTGTTAAGTGAATCACTGCAGTTGTTAAGTTAGGAATATGGTAGTTAAGTGATTCTGTTTTCCCCATTGACTTTACTTGTTAGGTCACAAAAGGTGGTCACACGACCCCAGGACACTTTAGTGGTCATAAATATTAAGCAGCTGTGAAGCATCTGAATTTTGATCACGTGACCATGGGGAAGTTGCAATGGTCCTAAGTGTGAAAAATAGTCATAAGTCACTTTTTTCAGTGCTGTTGTAACTTCGAGTAATCACTAAATGAACTGTTGTAAATTGAGGAACACCTTTCATGTCATGGAAAGTGATAGTACTGCTCTATGCTGCGCTGGTCAAACTTCACCTGGCATATGGTTTTTATTGATAAATTCTCATAGTATGTGGGAATGATTGTGGGAAACAAGGAAGAACCACAGCCAGGGAAATAGTCAGATAAGAGGCAACTTAGCCATGGAAGGAATATGGACATGGCAAATGTCTGAGAAGAGACCCTCCCTAGTTGCTTGTGCAGTAAAGGCAATGGGAGAGAGATATACTTTCACACTTATAAAATACTGTCAATGTAACCTTACAGTAAATAGTGTTAGCAGTAGTGGCAAATATCTGTAGCTCAGGTGTAGGATGAGGGGTGAAGGTTCATTCTCCGAGCTTGTGTGTTGGTTTCCAAATATTTCGTTAGCAGGCTAGGTAACATCTTCAGCGGAGCTTGGGGGAAGGAAACAATGTAATCTACAAAATCAACTGTAACCATTGCAATCCATTCTACGTGGGACAACCATCATGTCAATTAAAAACCAGGATCCCCGAACACCGGCTGGCAGTCAAACGCCATGATCCCAAATCCTTAATCTCTACCCACACCAACACCAAACAATACCAGCTCCATTGGAGCAACACAAAAATCATTGGCCACGCTACCATCCGCCATGCTCGTGAGTTCATCGAAGCCTGGCACTCCGCAAGCAATTCCATCAACGGACACACTGACCTACAACCAGCCTACAAATCTTTCAAGGATCAAAATCTACGGCACAGCCAACCAGAAACAGCACCAACCCTCAACCAACTCACGGAAGCTCCCCCCATCTCCCAATGACCTTGACCTGATGTAATCCCCCATCACAAGATTCTCACACCGGACCCATCACAAGATCCATCAAAAGACCTTCACTTGACACACCCACACCTGAAGCCCTTACAAACAGAAGAGCACTGACACTGACATCCCCTAAACTCCACTAAAAATATTACCTAGCCTGGTAATGAAACATTTGGAAACCAACCCAAAAGCTCGGTGAATGAACCTTCACGCTCAGAGTAGTATTAATTCACCTGGGCATGCTTCCTCTCTGGATTACTTCATAAGGCTGACATCACCACAATACAAGAAGCATACTGAGAAACTGGAAAGAGTGCAAGAATGAGAAGGACAATAAGATTCTTGGAGACTAAAACATATAAAAAGAGATTAAAGGTACGTAATATATTCAGTCTAAAGAAAAGAAGGTATGGGGAGATGATAGCCTTCTTCTAATGCAGACATGTCAAACACAAGGCCCAGGGGCCGGATACGGCCCGCGAAGTGGTTTCATGTGGCCCACGAAGCCATCCTGGAAACAGTAAGGGAACAGCCCCCTCTGCCCTGGCCCTGGCCCAGGCCGGCTGGGAGCCAATGTACAATTTTGTGGTGGCCATCTATGCTGAAACGCATTCAGTCTTAGCTCCCCAAGGCTGTCTGGAAACAGCCAGGAACCAGCCCCTGCTGTGTCGGCCCCGCCCTCTGGGTGCATGCTGGGGAGGTGTCACTCTTTGTGAGGAATGAAGAAATGGACCATGCCTTGGCACTTGCCCAGGTCTCATCCCCTTCTGCCAGAGACCCTCAAATCTATCCCACTCCTGCCCAGGCCCCCACAGGCACCCTTGACGCGAACGATGTAGAGCTGGCCATGCCCACCCAGTAGGTCACACCCACTTCATCCACGCCCACTCAGTAGGCCACACCCACCCTGGCCACACCTACCCAGTCCCCCGAGGGCAACCACAAGGCTGATGCGGCCCTCAATGAAATTGAGTTTGACACCCCTGTTCTAATACATGAAGCGATGTTACATGGCGTGTGTGTGTCTGTATTCTCTAAACAAGAACCAATTAATCAAAGCTTAACAAATTCAAACTTGAAGTAAGGAGGAATTTCCTACCTGTGACAGCTATTAAGAAGCTGAACAGCCTCTCTCTTGAAGCCACAAGAGCTACAATACTGGAAATTTTCAAGAATAAAACTGCAGAGACATTTGTTCAGGATGGTGTCAGGAAACCTGAACTGGGCAGGAGGTTGGACTAATAATCTCTCCAACCCAATGATTCTATAAATTTTGAACCTGCCACTGTCCACATGCTGGCATAATCACACGTTGCAGCACCTTTCCCACCTATGGGAAATTGCTGTGAGCTTAGAGAGCAGAGGTGGCACATTTTGATCTTAAAATACACTTCTAGTATGCTATGTGATCCAAAGTTTTCAGCTTCTTTATCATTGTGTGAAAGCTGCAAAGTTTTATTCAAATATATTTACTGGCAATAACGTGCTATTTCACTTCCTAGCACCATATTCTTTAGGTACCTAGTATGACAGGACCATACAAGTTTAGCTGCATATCCTAAATAGAAATCAAAATAGCATGCCAATTCCTTGGTTTTGCATGGAAAAGAAAAACCAAGATATAGCTGAGAAATCATTGTAAAAGCACAATGCTATTTGACAGCAGGAAACAGCTACTACATACCTCAAGAATTACCACAAGATAAGTCACTGCAAATTTATGAAATTAGTATAGTCAAGGCACATAAAGGTTAATCCTTTCCATTTTACCCCACTGCCATTTTTTTTTAGAAAAATTAATATGCCCAAAAAAAAGCACTCACATTGAAGTGTCATATTTGGCCCTTAGATTAAGCACTCTGTACAGGGTTTGTGACACCTTTTCACATGGCAAATAGAGGGCCACAAATGAGAACACTTCACAGCCTCAGCAAAATCACACCCATCAAAAACTGGAAGACCCAGTAGCAAACATTCTTGTTATTTTAAAAAAAGTTGCTACTCTAAAAAGAGATTCATCAGAATGGGGAAGGAGGAGGATCAACTCATTATCCTCAGCAAGATGCAACCAAAACCACAAATATTGTGAAGACAATCCTCTCTTGTTACCTTTCCGAAGGACAAGCTGCAGCGATGTCTGACTCATTAACGTCTCCGAGTCCATTGGCGACTCCATTGCAAGAGTCCTTCCTCATCACCCCTTCGGGAGTCCTTTCTAAAAACTGAGCGTCTTCTTTGATACGCTGCTGGATCATTGGAGTAAGTGGCATTTCAAAGCTGAAGTAGCTGTCAGGCTCAGAATATAACGTTTCTAGTGACTCGGCACTGTAATATAAAGATGCATTGTCCAGAATGCTTTCAAACTGGGAGCTGTACACATCTGTTGAGATTTCAGAGAGTTGCCCAAGGACATCTTCCATTTTCCCACTGAGCCCTTCTTCTTCCTCCATTAGCCTAGGAATCAAAATTGGTTTTTTTTTTAAAAAAAAAAAGTGCTTTAATTTACTTTATAAGCTTACATATCGGCAGGTTCACATTTTCTCATAATGGTGGTTTCATGCAAACACATACAAACAGCCATTTCTCTTTTGATCGTTATGTACTAGTCTATAACGTCTGGTTACAATTGTCTTGATGGAAAACAGACACTTTTGTCTTCCCCCCCCCCCCGTGGCTTTTCATCCCCCACATACAGATCCAGGATGGAGTAGAAACAAAAGCTGCGATGGGATGATGTGTACTAAGAAACATCAGCTCATTGTGTTCAATGGAAAAAAGGAGCATTGTGTGTCTCCATTTTATATTACTTTTCAGAGATTCTGGAGCTACCGTATTAAATCCTTTCTTCTAACAGCTCAGGCAATTACAAAAAAAAAGCAACAACAGGAAAGATTAGAACTAGAGAGAGAATGTGTATTTGGAGGCCTGGAAGATAAAATGTTAGTCTTCTTTCCTTCTTTTTCTTATATTCTACAATTAATGGATTTAAAAGGTTTTAAGCTCAAAAAGACTCAAGAAAGCATAATGGTGCTTCTGTGCTGAATAGTTTTTACATTATCACTATTAATGTTATACATATATACACATATGCAAATATCTGCAAAATTTCAAAACTTGCTGCTTTGCTCCACACAGCCCTGCCACAAGGCCATTCCTTTGATATGATTGGAACAGGAATTGGAGCATTAAAAAACTAACACAGGCTCTGCTCTGCTTCTGAATAGACTGGGACTATTCAGGGACCTTTCATCATTTATGATGGACATGAGACAAAGCAAAGAAATATTAGAGTAGGACTCACATCTTAATACAGAAAATTCTCAAAGTGAATATAACGATAAAATTTCACTTTTGGGTTTAATAGAAAAAGACAGGAAAAAAATTGGCACTTTGATGGTTATATATGTTGATGGCAGCAAGATTACTTTATGCACAAAAATGGAAGGACACTTTGATTCCCAAATGGATGAATGGCTGCAAAAGTTGATGGACTTAGCGGAGATAGCTAAATGGACTGCTTTGGTCAAAGAAAAAAAAAAACACAATTTCTTTTGTTTCTACTTGGTAATTGCTTCTGGACTTTGTGCTTGAGGTGGAAAAAAATGAAAATTTAATTTTGGGTTTTACTGATTAGACAGATGTGTTGTTATAGAAATGGCTAGTTTATACTATTATGTAAAAAGTAAAAAGCTGAGGTTTGATGCTATTATCTTATTTTACTGCATCAAAGGGAATCGGAATTCAATGCCTTTTCTTTCTTTTTCCCTCTTTCACTACATTTTTTTCCTTTCCCTTTTCCCTCCCCTATTTTCCTAGTATTTTCTTTTTGTATTTTTGTATTTTATATTATAAACTAATTAAAAAAAAACAGAAATTGGAGCATTAAAAAAGTAACACAGGATCTGCTCTGCTTCTGAATGCCCAAGAAACATCACAGAGAAGAACTTTGTCCTGTTTGAGGAAGACCTAAATCTTGGCTAAAAACAGCTATTTGGTCCTTTCTAAATTAGCACCATCAGCAATCAAGCCAAGGAATGAGAGAGTGGGGAAATGTAAAGTTAACATCTTTTAATCCTTCCACATGTCTTCTCCAAGCTGCAATTTGCATTAGAGACCATAAGTTACAGCTTGTGGAGTCTTAAAATCTTTAAAAGCATTAAGCCCTTGTGCTGTGACATAACACTTTCAATTGCTTAATCATTCTTTTAAAAAATCAAAAAGAGGTCTTAGATACAGAAACAAGAATGTGTCCTCCTTCTTTTATATCTCCTCTCTGGTGATTGGCCTCAATCTTAAATTGGCTTTGGACTGTTCAGTTATTTATAGTACTTAATAGAAAACAGGGTTTCCTTTTAAATATGATTCAAAATTAGTTAACTAATTGTACTCAAGGGGATCCTAGACATTATAAATAAAACCATCATGAGTGCCAATATTAAATTGCATCGCAACTAAGACCATTGGAAGTTCCTTATTTTTTCCTCTAATCTCTTAATTGAAGCTTAACCATTGGCCTGATTCACACATGAAGCTAAAGCTAACAGGGTTAGCTTGACTTCTTATGGTTTATTCAAAAATACCATGACATAATATGTATGAATTCAAACTGAGTTCAGAAGTCATACTAAGCCATAACTGAATAGGTTTTGGCTCATGATTTACCATTTATCAATCCAGCCAACTATGGTTCAGTTATTGTAGGTGACCAGGCTGAGCTTGAGGGAGGAGTCAAACACATCATCAGTCTTGAGTCCCTTCGTGCCCACAAGAGATCTAAGTCCAGCCGACCTTGAATTCCATTGACTCTTCTCTACCGCCAATTTGCCTTGACCATTATTAGTTCAGATTCTTGTTTGGAGATAGCATGAAATAAACTTGTATTCATTTTGGACCTAAACCTGGCTTTCAATTTCTTGTGGCTGACAGTTAGTGTTAAGTAAATCATTGCACTATTTTATATGTGTATCACATTATTATCCTTACACCAACTATGAATGGTTATTGGGTTAAGTGACTTGGAAAATCCTTTCATCTATTTAATTATCAAAAAAAAACAACTACTCTCGTGAGATATTCCATGAAGATAAACTATAATCCAGATCCCTCATTTTGAAAAAAAATGCCAACCCATGCTAAATCATAGCAAAGCCCATTTAATACTGATAAAGCAGTTGCTATGGCATCAAGAAGGCCAGTTATTAGAACAATTTAACTAAGATACGTTATAGTGAAGACTCCTGCTGTTGTGTTTACAATTAAATTAAACACATTACTCATGTCTACATTTTGTTTATACCATTAAGTGTTTACTTACCATGTAAATTAAAACCTATTTATGCAAACTGTGATTAAAGAACATACTGGTACTAATAAATCATTCATAGTATAAGAGTAAACTGACCCTATCTGCTTGTTAGAGCAGTAAAACAGTTTATCTTAGCAAAGAAGAGAGTTTGAGCTGAGTGAAAAATGGAAACACCTCATTAAGGGAACCTCTTAATATGCACATGGACTAAGGATACAATGGAGATTTATCTTCCTTATTCCAGAATAATGTTTTTTGAGATTCTAGAAAGGTAGTAACAGGCATCTTGATACTATTCAGCTCTCTAACAAATTTCCACCAGATCTGGGTACCATAAACATAGACAAAGAAAAGGATTGTGGGAGTTGTAGGGAAAAAAAACTATTGGGACTATAGATTGCCTAATTCTGAAATTAAAGCCAAATAGAGACAAAGCCATATTTTAAGTGACTATAAACACCTCCCTTGGCACCAGCTAAGAAGTTATCTATCCGGTTGTCTTTTTACATTTCTTTAAAAAATCTTTTTTTCAAAAATTGCAAACTGGCATGCTTCAACATCATCTTCATTGATAAAACTTTGAAGTCCCAAAAAAGGCTCCAGAAATATTTTTTAAGAAATAAAAGTGATGCACAGCTACAGCTCAGGGTTTGGAAATGCACTTAATCCAAACATAAAGTTAAGAAGAACAGAGAGTATCCTGTGTGGAAGACACAAAAAACAGATTGTAAATAATATTCTGGGAAGTCAATGCTTTGCAATTTGTTATATCCCCCATGACAGCCCTTTTGTGAATGGACCAGCCTTTCCACCTAGCAATCATTTTAGGAAAGAGCCCATAATACGTTTTCAACATTGCCCCAATTAGCTAAGATGCAGAATACTGTCGATATGTAGTGGTTACATCTAGCCCTTGGCTTATGACTTAACTGAGCTCGGAATTATGATCATTAAGTTATACCAGTCATTAAGCGGGTTATCGTGTGACAGTCTTGATTATATGACTTTTTGTGGCAGTTGTTAAGTGAATGTGGTATCATTAAATGAACCCATTGTCCACAACGGCTATTTTTTGCTATAAAACCAGAAGTAAAAGTTGTAAATTGTGGTCAGATGACTGTGGGACACTGCAAACTGCTGTAAATGTGGACTGGTTGCAAAGCACCCAAAATCATGTAATCATGTAATCACGGGGGGGGGGGGGGCAGCTGTTGGAAGTTTGTGAATACTTTTTGGGGATCTATTGTATATCTGAATGGCTGCTAAGTGACTGGTAATATGATGAAGGTTACCTGTCCAGCACTCAATGTGGAATGAACAGCTCATGAAGTTTTCTTGAAGTAACCTTAGATGTTTCTCCAACACAAACAATACTTACATACAACTTTAAGGAAGACAGAAACAGCCATTTTTGGTGTTACAACTCTGGGGGAGGGCAATTCAAATTTAAATCTAAATATAAACACACGTGCATGTGTTCAGGGACTCGCCTGTCTCTTTTTCTTTTGTTTCTGTCTATTCGCTTATGGATAGCCTTGGGAAGTTGGAAAAGCAGAAATCTTTTAAAATTCAAATCCTCTACCACCCTAAATGCCAGGCTGTTTAGCTGGGTAGCCTGGCAAAACAAAATGTGCCCCAGAAGAATTCTAGGCAGGGAGCAGCTGAACGGAGGTGGAGCTGAGAAAGAGAAGCTGCTATATTCAGATGTTTGGGGAAACATCTGTTTGGAGAAAAAGTGGAAGGACAGATTTGGACTTGGAATCTACAAACCTTGCCTATTGTCTGTAAAGCCTTCCACAGGAGTAGGATTGCCCATTTAGATGCCTAGGTATCTTTATAACTTACATGCAGTAAGCATACTGGATTTTCCTCAGACAGTTTGGTCTGGTGGTTAAGGCACCAGGCTAGAAGTTCTAGTCCCACCTTAGACCTGAAAGCCTGGCTGGGTCTCGCTCTCTCTTTTCATGCAGAAAAGTCTCTTCCCTTGCCTACATATTCATGGATGATCATTTTAGGGTCTTCCTCAGCTTCTCAGTTTCCCAATTTGTTGACAGTAATATCACAAGTTAACATTTTGACCGGTGCCAAACAGCTAGGAGAGCCAAAATAATTGAAAAGGAGCAACAGCAGATGTACTTAGCATTTCAAAGAGCATCCTGTGGCTGGCACTAGATCAAAATTTGTGGTTCTGCGTTCAAAGTTTACTGTTGCTATGATAGAAGAATCCAAGGATTTCAAAGCAAAAGCACAAAACAGAAGTTTGACTAAATTTAAGCAAGAGTGGCTTCCCTATATGTCAGTCGACAAAATAAACTCACAGAGAATGGATTTTGAGGGGGACATAATTAACATAAAAACAGTTCTTAAAAGCAATTTCAATATGATGACCCAATTATTAGTTGGAATCATTGGGAGAGAATTTGAAACAGCATTGAATTGTTTCTACTGATTTTTCTCCTGGTTAAAATTATTTTATTTTTTCATTTTTTCCTTTCTTTTTTTTTTACATGACTATATACATTTACAGTAGTTTTAGAAAAATTAACAAATTGCACTTCCAGTTCCAGTTCGCGGTGCCTCTAGCTATACGAAGAGACTTGTCTCCTCGTCGGTGGAAAGTCGCCCTGGAGGGTGGATTTCTGTCGAGGAGGCGTTGCTCGACTCCAGAGAAGCGGCGGCTCCTCCAGCTGTCTGAGCTATCTCTGAGGGCTGACAGAGAAGAAGATCGGCCAGTAAAATGGCCGATCACCCTGCCATTTCAAACTGCAAGTCAAACAACATCTAAGCTGTAAGAACCACTGTGTTGAATCTGGGTGAGATTTTTTTTCTTTTTCCTGCTCCTCTCTTCATTTTATCTTGCTTTTTTTTTTTTTTTTTTTGTCTGTAAGAGCCTTGTTGGAATTATTTCCCTGGTTTGAAAAAGCAGCTTCTACATGTTTGGGAAGAAAGGCATTGAACAAAAGAATACAATAAAATTTTAATGACTATATTTTATTTTCATATGCTTTGGGGTACAGAAAAAAAAATTTTTCTAAGAGCTCTACTATCATTTTATGCTGGAAGATTATTTCTTTTTTCACATTAATTGCAAAAGAAAGAAAAGGGGGGAAATGGTGTCTGGAAAAGTTTTTTTTCAACTTACTGGGGACATCTAGTGGCGAAAATCTAATATTGCAATTTTGGTTACTCTTTGGAGATGGAATAGATGGACCTTTAAATTACTTTTGAAGAGAAAAGATAAGTTGATGCAGCTGTGAGAGTTGTGGGGGTGGACACTGTTTAACTTTTATTAAACACAGCCTCCACAAGAAGAAAAAAGAGACTCTCTTTAATTATTATCAAAATGGAGAAAACTCATTTACAACTAAGCTGCAAACTTATATTGGAAAAGATTTATGAGGCCACTGCAGAAATATGTGCTACAATGAAAGAGTTTACTACAGAATTAAGATCCAGAAGTCGTACTTCAAATCTTCAAACTGATCTCCAGACTACATCTGACTATTCTATAAATCAAAACACATTAGAAGAGGAAACAACTGAGATAAATGAGGAAGTTATTTTATCTTACAAATATTCCATCTACAGCTTTGAGGACCACAAGAATCAAAGATTGGGATTGGAAACTTTAAAGCAACGAAGCTTTAAGGATGAGAGAAATAGATGCCTAATGCAGAGGATGGGATTCCTATTGTTTCAAAGGGTACTACAAGCAATAAAGAGAGATCTATTGGCTGAAAGGGAAGCTTGGTTATGGAAACCTGCCTGGCACAGAAAAAAAGCCAGAATAAGACTGAAAAGAGAAATTTAAAATTGTGTAATGGATTTAAAGGCAGTCGATTTATGGACAGTTTTAAGGATTAAGATTCAGAGTTAAAAGTAAGAAAAAAATAGGAGGTTGATTATTAGAACAGATGTTTTAAATAGATTAAGAATGTACTTTTTGGAATAACAGGTTTATTTTCATGAAAAGTATTATGTATTGGAATGGAAAAAATGCTGGCTTTTTAGATTTGGATTGTTTTAATAATTAATTGTTTTAAATTACTAAGATGATATTTTTGTATGATAATATAGATGTGATAAGGCATGATAATTAATTGGATGAAATTTGAATTTTGTTTAATGAATTGAAATGAGTTAAGACTTACACTATTTTGTTATTTTAAAAGAGATTGATTGATTGATGGACTATATATGTATAGGGTAGATTAATATTTTATCTTAATTAGGATATGTATTGTGTAGTGGAAGAAGAAATAAATGAGATTTGTGATAAAATGAGGGATATAAGAGATTAAGAATTAGAATATAGCTGGAAGGGATACCTGAATTGATAACTTCTTGATTTAAAGTTAAATTTGATGATGGTAATTATAAATTTACAAAGTTTTAAAACAGATTTTTATGTAGTTATATAAATTTAAATTAGAAATGGAATATTTTAAATGTATTATGCTAGTTGAGGGAAATAGAGAGGGGACATTGAATGTATTGAGTTGAATTATGGTTCTATTGTTGAATGTTTGATTACCCAAACACCACGGTGTGTCCTGAGCACCTTTTTCTAAGATTCACAAAACCAATAAAATGTGTTTCAAAAAAAAAAAGAAAGAAAAATTAACAAATTAATATTTAGAGTTTTACAGAGATCTTTTTTAGTTAAGCTGACATAATGAATCTAGTTCGATATGTTCAATTAAATAATTAATTTAAACTTTATGATAAATGCAAATCTTTCATTTATTGATATGTTATTCTTCAATCACTCTCTCTTCTCTCATCCTTTTTTCTCTCATGTAGCAATTTGCTGTTCTTTAAATGTGTTGATCAACTTATTAATTTAAAAATAAAACAGCAAAATCAGTGTTCAGAAAAAAAATACATGCAAAAGGAATTATAGTACAAATAGTCCTCAAGTTACAACCATTGCAGTTGTTATGTTAATAACATCTGAATTCCTTATTGACTTTGCTTGTCAGAAGGTGGCAAAAGCTGATCACACGACTCCAGGACACTGAAACTGTCATAAATATGAACCACTTGCCAAGCATCTGAATTTTGATCATGTGACCATGGGGATGCTACAATGGTCATAAGTGTGAAAAACGGTCATAAGTCACTTTTTTCAGTTCCGTTGTTAATTTTGAACGGTCACTAAATGAACTGTTGTAGGACTACCTGCACTTGTTTTTAAATGCACAAAACATCCCAACACATCAGCACATGGTGCAAACACATTTTGTTTAAAAAAAACAAGATTTACTAAATATGGAAGAATTGGAGAGGCAATTTCATAAAATAATTTGAAAATTACTGTGATGGTTAAATATGAAGGTGATGTGCTATATATTCATCCATCTAATCGAAATAGCTACAAATGTTGATTCTCTAATGCAGGAGTGTCAAACTGCCAGCCTGCAGGCCGAATGCATCACATGGAAACTGCGCCCACCCCATTGCCAGCAATGGCAAAACCTGCCCAATACGTTCCGCGACGTCACGTGACATCGCAAGTTTGACATGCCTGCTCTAATGGTTGGTTTAAGAGGCTGCTGTGATCAGCAATTGTCAATTCCCCAATCTTTTAAGAACTCTACTGGGAATAGACCAGCAAAAAACTTGAATCTACAAAAAAGGGGGGGGCGCTTACAGACGTTTTCGGGAATTTTCCCTCTTTCTCAGTCAGAAGAATTTGCAGTTGGCCTGATCCAGCTGGTCCCCTATGCTATAGTTCTCTCACTCATGGAAAGGTCTTCAAACTTGCAGGCCCTTCACATTGCAAAATATATCCCTTCCTCCAGGCATCCATCCCCATGCATGTGTAGGAGAAGAACAGGGAGAGGATTTAAGCAAGTCATCAGCCTAGATCCATTACATTCCCACAAACAATCTAAGTCCAACCTCTCTTGAATTCTGCTGACCCTTATCTGGCGCAAATTTAATACTGACCGTTTGTTGACTAGATTAATGTCAGGCGCAAGGAATCAGGACCATAGGTTAAGTTGCAGTTAGTAAGATTTATTGCTCAAGCCTATACCCAAGAATCTAGTCAACTAAGGTTGAATACTAAATTCTCCTACAGCATGTGACTTTATGGAAGGTTCTTCACTTAAAAGTTACTGGCAGGACCCCACAGAAATTGTGCAATGCCCTCCACAGCTAGAGGCTCATTGCATTTGTTTTACATAGATGCATCTTAGATTTCCAACCAGTGTAAACTAGATCTGTGGTTTCTGATCTGTCTACAGTTGTGAAAAAGCTTTGTATGATGTGATTTTCTGATTACTGTTGTGTATGTACTGTTGCGATAAATAATAATGTTCCACTTTCCATACTTTGTGTTGAACAGTACCACAAAATTTGAAAAATTAAAGCAGCCATGTCTCTGTCCTCTCCACCCCAGAACAATGATGGGATCATACGCCAGCACATTCTTAAATAATAAAAGAAATCAATGTTATCAATATGTTCTCTGCTGCCCCTACATTAAACATTAATACTAGTAATTGTTGTTACCTGTCCTTGTCTGGCCCAGATTTTCCTTCCTGAGCCCAATCCTTTTCTTTACTTCCAGAGACTTCATCTTCTTCACCTTTTGTCAAGGATGTCAGTGATTTGAGGTTTTTCCAGGACACATTCCAAGGGCGATCAGGCAAGCCAATTAATCCTGTTGAAGGAATGTATGGTGTGTGATGGTTTGGCAAGTTGGAGAAAGTTCTCCTTTCTACACTCTCTATTTCAGAGCGCCCCTTTTCTTTCTGTTCCTCGGCTTTTTGTATCCAAAGAATTTCCACCCCCTGAAATTCCACATGTTTGTTCATTGCTGTCTCTTTTGATATCCTCCTCTCAGGGAATGCTTCGGCTTTTTCTGCATCACCCATGGCAAACTCCCGCTCAAATTCTGCCCAGGCATCTCCGACGCCACCATCAATGCTCAGGTTTTCATCCTTTGGACCAGCCAAAGGCAGGTGATTACTCCTTTTGCATGTTTTCTGGGCTTCCTCAGTTCCTCCACCATCAGAAGTTTGCAAGGTCGCAGGCTGAACTTTCACAGTTAAGATCATAGAGTCTTCTTCTGTGATCCAGTACAATTTTCTCTCTGATATTACCTCAGATGGAAGAGGTATTTCTGAAGGCTTTTCCTGGCCTGTAAGAACTTTCTCCCTAGCTACCTCTTCAACTGTTCTTTCAGTCCTTCTCTCACTTTCCATTTGTATCTCTGAACCAAAAACTTTACTGCCTGCATCATGGGCCTTTTCTGATTCTAAATCTTGAGAAATCTCACTCTGTCTGTCAAGAAGCTGGGAATGTTCTTCCTCTTGGGGCAGGCTTTGCAATGTTTCAGAAGCTGTTTCCATTCCATCACCAGAACTCCCATTTTCATAAAGTTCGCACAGCATCTGATCACTCAGATGTCCATCCAAAGCACTTGTTACGTCTTTCCCTTGAATCTCAGGCGATTTCTCCAATGTCTGAGCTTCTACAGACCCATATTCTGGGAATTCATTGATGCTGTGTGGGAGAAGAGCACTACCTCCATGGCTACCTGCAAAAACCAAATAAATAAATAGAGAGCAAAAGAAAAAGGCAACCACTTAGTTCCATTAGCAATATTGTGCCTACTCTTCTCCTAAATGGAAACAGTGATGTGTTTTGGCCTCTTTGGCATTACATCATTTCTTATTTAATCTTTTTTTCCAGGGTTGTCTTTAAGGCAGGGCATATTTTGGATAACAAACTTTCCAAGTTGAGGTAGCTAAAGCACATATTGAAATATATATTCATTTAATGTTAAATCCTGCTCACAGGGAGCTTTGGGACTCTGACAGAAGATTCTCTGTAGATCAGTGGTTCTCGACCTGTGGGTCGGGACCCCATTTGGGGTCGAACGACCATTTCACAGGGGTCGCCAAACAACGCAGTCCGCCATTTTTTCCCCCTTTTCCTTAGCTGTGCTACTCCCTTTTATTCTATTGGCTTTTGAAAGCCAATAGAATAGACTCTCTTGAATAGAGTCTAATTCTATTGGCTTTCAAAAGCCAATAGGAATTGTCCAGGCTGTCTCTGCCCTGCTGAGCCTGCCAAAAGTCCCATTCTGCAAACGGTGCTGCGGCAGTTGAGTAGTCCTCGACTTACGACCGGTTGAGTAGTCCTCGACTTACGACCGGTTGGGGTTCACGGCATTAAAAAGGTTGAGAACCATTGCTGTAGATCAAAATGACTAAGGCTCTTTAAGGGAAACTCTAATTCATTAACTAATTTTACAAATCACTCACTTGATGGCAAGGAAGAAGAGCCTTTGCCACACAGACAATTCACTGATAGATAATTTCACAGCAGAAATGGACCATTTCATAACTGGAAAGCAATTTATAAGCTGCATGTATGAAGAAGCCAATGGAACATGCTCAGTGTCATCACACTATAATTACTGAATGCCTTTATCCTAAGGCAGAGGCAGGGAAATTTTTCCAAGTCGGAGACTGAAGCTCAATATTTCAACAAGTCAGCAGTTCAGCCAAATCCTTCCGAAAACATGGAAATGTTATTTCAAAGAACAGAGTTCTTTTATGATTCTGGGGATTTTTGGGAAGTTAAAAATGGGGTGGGGGTTACCGTTCTCCATCACCAAGATCTTCATCTTCATGCCTATCTTTATTTTAGAGTTTTGATGACAGATTAGTCCTGAAATTAACCTACTCTCACTAATGCCTATCTTGAGATTCTTGGGTTGCAAATGGGGTATCAAAGTCACATACAGCACTCAGGTTGCCAATACATTTCCTTATTTATAAAAGTTATTGATCGTATCCATGTAACCACAGAACTTATACTGATCAAAACCAACCATATTATCCATTAGTTTCTATCAATACACAATCACTGTATTTAAATTGCAAATGGTCATTTACAACATATGATTTTATGTGTTTCTATGTAAGCCTTGGCATTTTACCAAGCAAATATTTTAGGACAAAATTGTCCCTGATGCTACTTATACACTGTGGGCAGCTTTGTTCTACTTTGTCTCTGGGACTGGTGAAAATTATATTACTCTGAAAATCAAAAACTGATATCAAAACTCACTAAGCACTCATTGTTCTGATACAGCAGAACAGAACAATTTATAATTGTTAGTAAATCAAAGTCACAATGCCAAATTTAAGGGATCCTTAATTCAGTCAACACAGTACCAAGGAGAAAATGGTTAATACGGGAGATGTCTTGAGTTCCCGGATTATCAGTAATATTCGTTCAAAGCATTTCGTTGCATTTTTCTCAATAGTTCACAGAACAATTGTGACCTGGTTTTTGGTTTCTTTGTTTTTGCTCGATATCTGAATCATGCTGCCTTGCCTTGTATTTTCTACCATCAGAATCTCCCATCTTCATAAACAAAAATTGTGAACTCTGTCCAGGAAGAGTAGAATAGAATAGGAGAATGAGGTTCAGAGATAACTATTCTAATCCAGCCATACCATTGGAAAGGAAAGCTGCACAGAAATTATTCATTTAATCATTATTGCTTAATTATTCAACTGTGTGTGTGTGTGTGTGCGCGCGCGCGCATGCGCGTGCCTTCAAATCAATTTCATAACTCCTGGTAACTGTCTGGACAATTTCCGGCAGTTTTCTTAGCAAAAAGTTTTTGGGGAAGTGGTTTTGCCATTGCTTCCTTTCTAGGGCTGAGAGAATAGACTGGCTCAAGGTCACTCAGCTGGCTTTGTGCCTAAGGCAAGACTAGGATTCATGATGTCTGGGTCTTTAGCTTGGTATTTTAACTACTACATCCGACTGATTCTCATAACATCATTAAGGATGAATATTTATTCATTCACAATGCATAGCCTAGATATAATTTATCCTTCCTGTAGGAGCTCCATCAGCTATTATAGAAATAACATATTTCAATTCTTCTTTAATTGTCAGATATTATTGTTCTTTACTGAATACTGAGAGAAAAGGTTTAATTCTTTCTTTCCAGTTTATTTATTTATTAGATTTTTATCCCTCCTTTATTCTTTATAAATAACTCAAGGCAGCAAACACAATCCTCCTTCTCTTTTCCCCTAGGGCAGGGGTAGGCAATCTTGGCTCTTTTATGACTCATGGACTTCAACTCCCAGAATTCCTGAGCCAGCCATGTCTATGAGTTATAAAAGAGCCAAGGTTGCCTACCCCTGCCCTAGGAGGTGGATTAGGCTGAGATAGACTGATTGGCTCAAAGTCACCCAGCCAACTTTCATGCCTACGGTAGGACTAGAACTCGCAGTCTCCTAGTTTCTAGACCAGCACCTTAACCACTATACCAAATTGTGCTTGTAATGAAGACAGCACCCTCACCAAGTGGAACAAAGTTTAGGGGGAGAAAAATACATCTCCTGTCATCAATGGCTGCTTCTTCATGCAATCTTATAACCGTGTCAGGGAGACGATAATACTGGTGAGTCAGGTCCCATCAGAGAAGAATTAAGTTCCCTTCCAAATCATAAAGAAGAAGAAAAAAACAAAAGATAAAATTGCAAAAACCAAAAGACAAAAAGTATAGCTGAATTAAGAGAATTATTCTTTGGTAAAATAATAATGCAATCAACTTTTAGAGCAGGTAGTTTTAGAGTTTCTTTTTCATTCCTTTTTGTCCGGGTTTGTTTCCCACACCTCCAATTCTTCATTCAATAATCCTGTCCATTAGCCTTGGACAGCCCAAAAAGTAGAAAAGAAATCTAGCACTGTAGCTCCTTTTCAACTAACATGTTATTAAAAGCATAAGCTCTGGTGAGCTGCGGTTTCCTTCATAAAAAGCAAACTGCAACTAATGGAAACGTATGTGTTTGAGTACAATTTATTGGGGGGGGGGAAATGCTATCAGACTCCTCTTGATTTTTTTGGCTGCCATAAACTAATATGGCTCTCCTCTAACAACAGGTAAAGGTTCTTGTGCATTCATTTATTTATACCAAGGCGTTTCAGCCAGTGGTACAGGTACCACTTGTGGTACATTGGCACCTGGCAGGTGGTATGCGACCATCCTAAAAAAGTGATAGCAGAGGAGGGGAATGAGCTGAACCGGTAGCAGCACTGCACAAGCCTGAGCGAGAGATGGCTGGAGTTGCAGGGCTGTCAGGGCTCAGCGGAAGCACCAGGATCAGTGCCAGGCTCCAGCTGGAGTTCTGCGCCGATCCTGGTGCTTCTGCTGAGCCCAGAAGAAATGCCGATCAGCTAGAACAGTGGTTCTCAACCTGTGGGTCAGGACCCCATTTGGGGTCAAACGACCATTTCACAGGGGTCGCCAAACAACGCAGTCTGCCATTTTTTTCCCCTTTTCCTTAGCTATGCTACTCCCTTTTATTCTATTGGCTTTTGAAAGCCAATAAAATAGACTCTCTTGAATAGAGTCTAATTCTATTGGCTTTCGAAAGCCAATAGGAATTGTCCAGGCTGTCTCTGCCCTGCTGAGCCCGCCAAAAGTCCCCTTCTGCAAACGATGATGCACCAGTTGAGTAGTCCTCGACTTACGACCGGTTGAGTAGTCCTCGACTTACGACCGGTTGGGGGTCGTGGCATTAAAAAGGTTGAGAACCACTGAGCTAGAATGTTGCAGCATCTCCAGGGTCTTGTGATTTACATTCAGATGCTTGGCAACTGATTCATATTTATGACAGTCACAGTGTCCCAGGGTCATGTGAAGTGACCAAAACCTGCTGCAACCACTCAGCAGACGGGAGGAATAAAAACCAAACACCCCCACCCCACCCCTGCTGCCAATCCTCAGCAGAAATGCTCACAACAATGAAAATCTCGGACAGGAGGAAGAGTGCCGCCGGGCAGGCAGGCAGGTGTCTTGCTCAGCTGTGGGTTGTGGGGCACTTTTTTCAGTGTCATTGTAAGTTCGAACAGTCACTAAGCGAACTGTTGTAAGTCGAGGACTACCTGTACTTTATCACTTTTGTCCTTTTTTTTTTGTTTTGGTCATCAAGTTTTTAACACCTTGCTAGGCGACTGATGATACTTGGATGTTGCCATATCCTAAAAGTGGTACAATGGATGAAAAGGTTGAAAAGCCTTGATTTATACCATTTGCATGGCTGATGAAATCTATTCTTTGTCATTTCCATTTTCTGCTGTTAACAGAAATCTTATGATTACTAATTATGTTGTGCCTTTGCTCATTTTTTTTTCTTTTTGATAAAACCTCTCAAGAAGAAAATAACTAGAAAGCCGATTTACATCAAAGAATTGATTTTATTCAACTGGAACCTGAAGCAGGTGAAAAGCCAGAGCAGTCAGAAAAAGAGCAGCAGTGCTTGGCAGATTCCCACATGCATCCCTTTCCAGCCAGAGCAGTTCATCAGTACAAGTGAATGGATCAGTCAGTTTTCCATCCTTGTTAGTTTTCCTTGTCTTCGTTCATAAATCCACTCCATCCCATCTGCATTCACCTGCTAGGTTTTGGGCATTCTTTCAAGAATAGGCCACATGGAAAAACATGCGCTTAAGACTCCAGACTGCTGTTTTAAAACACCTTTTATGCAGTGGTGGGATTCAGCCAGTTCGTATCACTTCGGTAGAACCGGTAGCTAATTTTTTGTTGCCCAGGCCCAGAATGGACTTCCAGAAGCGGCATCCAGAGAACCAGTTGTTCACATATTTGAATCCCACCGCTGCTTTTGTGACGCTGCTGAAGCCCAAACTGCAAGCAAGCTGCAGAGAGCAGCATATTACAGAGAATGGCTGCCTGCCAAAGAGCAAGGAAATGTGGTTTCAAAATGCAGAGCATAGAAAGCACTGATATCTGGTCATTTCAAAATCAGGCCAAGGAAGCCTCCCATCCCATCTTTTGCTTGAGGAAATCCCGTATGAGGTCATTGTTAAAGGCCAGCAAAAGGGCTCCCAGTAGTCCAGAGTAGGAAATTATCTTCTTATGGTTAAACAGGTCTACTCCTGCAATATTTGGGGTGGGAGGGAGTCATCTATAACCAGCGTCTATGCTGAGACTCCTGGGGAAAAAAGAAAAATAAATGGGCTACCATGCAAGGAATTTCTTATGGACCTGTTCTTTCACTCTGTTTCTCTCTCTCCTCTTCTCTGTTCTGTCCTTCCTAATGGGAACAGCAAGGCATCCAGGCAGGGAAGGAATAGGGTGGGTAAGGGGTGGTAATGAGATGTAGGAATCAGTACAGACAGCCCTTGACTTACAACCATTTGCTTAATGATGGTTCAAAGTTACGATGGCCTCAAAAAAGGTGACTTACTTGTACTTACAACCATTAGGTACTACCCTCATAGTCATGCGATTGCAATTTGGTCGCTTAACAACCAGCTCGCATTTACAACTGGTTTGTGTGTCCTGCAATGGAATGATCCGATTTGCAACTTTTCTTGCCAATTTCCAGCAAAAAAAAAAACACTCATTGGGGAAGCAAGATTCATTCCACAATCACCCGATTTGCTTAACAATCTTGTGATTTGCTTAATGACCACTGTAAAAATTGTTGTAAAATCAGGTCCGACTCAACTTACAACTGCAATGGCTTATGACAGAAATTCCAGCCTCAATTGTGGTTGTAAGTTGAGCATTACCTGTAGGAGAGCATTAGGCTCAGACTAGCCTACTGCCACACATTAAGGCATCTCTTCCACATACTGCCTGGTATCAGCATCTCATTAGAGGGGGTCATTTTATTATTTCTACTTTAAATATATGTTATCCATCTCTGGAGTGAAATGGTGCCTTTGCCTAGACCAGTGGTTCACAACCTTTTTAATGCCGCGACCCCCCAACCGGTCGTAAGTCGAGGACTACTCAACTGGTCGTAAGTCGAGGACTACTCAACCGGTCGTAAGTCAAGGACTACTCAACTGGTGCAGCACCGTTTGCAGAATGGGACTTTTGGCGGGCTCAGCAGGGCAGAGACAGCCTGGACATTCCTATTGGCTTTTGAAAGCCAATAGAATTAGACTCTATTCAAGAGAGTCTATTCTATTGGCTTTCAAAAGCCAATAGAATAAAAGGGAGTAGCACAGCTAAGGAAAAGGGGGGGGGAAATGGTGGACTGCGTTGTTTGGCGACCCCCGTGAAATGGTCGTTCGACCCCAAATAGGGTCCCGACCCACAGGTTGAGAACCACTGGCCTAGACAAAGGTGTTCTGAATGGTTTTTCACTTTGTTTTGTGCTGTTTTCAATAAACTGCTTTACTTCAACATTGGTTACGTTGCCAGAAATTGTTGAAATGTGTAATTGTGGAGGGTTGGAGTTTGTCAGAACTTGCAAATTTTGGTCAGTTGAATGCAATCAGGAACGTAAAAGCAATTGAAAACTGTGGAATGATAGTGAGACCTTGGCGTGTGTGGAATGTCAATTGTGTGCTTAACGACTGAAGTAATAAACAAGATTGCCTTAAAAGCAGGATCCTAAGTAAAAGTTGGTTCTGCAACCATTATGTAGAAAAGCAACTTGCTGTGCCTTAAGCAAGGCTTTGTGGAATAGAAGGAACCAGCATCGGATCTCTGGCTAATAAATTCTTAAATCTGAAAGAAGTTTTTATTTCTATACACATAGCTCAGTATGCACAAAAGCTATTAGATATCAGGAAGTGTTTTTCTTTATATAAATATAATGGTGTATGAGCTGCAATTTGAAAAACCCAGAGTTAAGCAAAGCATCTTCTACATAGTCCTGAGATAGTCAAAGACAAGCCAATACAGGTAGTCCTTGGCTTATGACCACAGTTGAGCCCAACATTTTTGTTGCTAAGCAAGACAGTTGTTAAGTAGGTTTTGCCCCATTATATGACCTTTCTTGCCGAAGTTGTTAAGTGAATCACTACAGTTGTTAACACAGTTATTAAATGAATTTGGCATCCTTTTCTGATTTTGCTTGTCAGAAGGTTGCAAAAAGTGATCAAATGAACCAGGGACACTACAACCGTCATAAATATGAGTTGCCAAGCATCCAAATTTTGATCACGTGAACATGGGGATGTTGCAACAGTTGTAAATGTGGGAAATGGTCATAAGGCACTTTTTTCAGTGCCATGGTAAGTGTCAATCATCACTAAATGAATGGTTGTAAGTTGAGGACTATCTGTATCCGGGTAGTTCTTCATCCCACTGCGTCCCTTCATTACTAAAAACAGTGTGGGGCAGTGGTCAGAGAATTAGGATTTGGGGGACAGGTTCATATATATAATGACAGAAACTCACTGACTTCTTTGGGCTAATTACTATCTCTCAGCCCACTCTACCTCCAAGGCTGTGGTGGGAATAAAACGGGAAGAGCTAAATCTAGAAAAATACCATTTGAGCTCCTAGAGAACCATTAAGGAAGTAAATGTGACAACTAAATTAATAAAAGCACAACGCAAAGCATTTGGTACACTCAAAAGCACTATGCAGACATTAAGCAGTATTATTATTTCATGCCAGGCACTGTGGCAAAGACTTTGCTTCTCTAAAGAAGAATTCAAGGGCTACCTATCAGCTGGAAACAAAAGGATAAGGCCATCCCATTTGATTATGCACTCCAAACAAAACAAAATCCACAACAGTATTATTCTATCTATGGCCTGATGGTGCAGTGCAGCCAGCCTCACTCCACCATTAGGCTTTTCATCACCGACCAATGATAATAATAATAATAACAATAACTGATTGAAAGATTCTCTGCAAATGCCAGAGAAGAGCCCAAATGTGGAGTTCCCCTCAGACAGAAAAGTTTCAAAAAAAGCCACCAGCTCTTTAAGGGATGCCCCTCCCCCTCTCTAACAAGCCACAGAGCATCATGTCTGGTGAAAGCAGCCGGCGCATCACATCAATCCTTCCTTCCCTCGCCCCCCTCACCCCCAACCCACGCAAAAGAACTGTCTCCCAAGAAAAGGAACACGATTCAGATGCTAATTCACCACAGAGAAGCAGGGAGGCAGCCGGGTAGTAAAACTGAACTGCATAAGTTCTGCACAGCACATTCCAGGTAACCATTTTGTTATGATTCCACCCCCTTGTCTCCCTCCCTCCACTCATACACCCCCACCTCTACATTTCAGATTTGACTGTATTGATAGCCTGGAGGTCTGCATCTGCATGAGAAAGCTGAGCTATAAAGCAAATACAGCTTGGAAGTAGCCACAGCCTTCCTAATGACCGATATCCTTAAGAATTCATAACTTGACAGAGCACTGGAAGGTACGTACATACATACATATATATGTGTATACATGATCCCTTCTGCATGCAACAATTCCTCCCCTAACTGAAATGTTCAGAAATTGCCGCAGGCCACTTACTGACAAAGTCATCAACCCGAGGAAGCAAAACATCTGATGAAGCTAAGAGATGAACAAAATGGTTTGACATCCGTGTTGTGAGTGTGCACATGGGTCTTATAAATTCCTACCCGCTCAACAGAACAAACAAGGTTTAATTTGGCTGAACAGAGGCTGACTACTCACAAAGATTACTGTAGCTCCAGCAGTTACCCATTGGTCAGTGAAATTCATCAGTGTATCTAATAAGGATTCCAGCTTATGGTAAACGCTGCCCGTTCTAAATCAACTGGAATCAGCATAGTTTCAAATTTCCTGGCTGAGGCAGCACCAGCAGCCGCACGGGCGCTCTGCAATGCACACAGGGTGATGTAAATGGAAGCCTTCTGAGCCTTATCAAACGGAAGGGGAAAAGGACCACAGTCGCATTGCTGCTATAGCTGAAAACGAACCCATCTAGGCTACCTTAAGGCAACAGAGCTACCGTAAGCTTCTCTTTCTTTCTTTCTTTCTTTCTTTCTTTCTTTCTTTCTTTCTTTCTTTCTTTCTTTCTTTCTTTCTTTCTTTTTCTTCTTTATTTTTAATCTGGCAGAGATGATTTTTTCCACAACACTATCAGTGAAAAGGGGGAGCTGTATTCCATATCTGCAGCGGCGGTGGCAGCAGCAGCAAGAGCCGCATAAGAAAAACGGAATGACATTGGAAATTCGATCTTATTCAAGCAGCAGAGGCTCCGTGACAGCACACTTTACCAGAACTGAGCCTTTTCTTTGATGAGGGGACAGTTTGTCAACCCACAGCCGTCTTCCAGTTTCCAATTTAGAAAATAAATAAATAGCAGATTTGTGCTAAATTATTGCAATTGGGAGGGTACGCGTGCACGCCAAATCGAAGGTGAATGATAGAATTTTACGTGTGTTGGATTTTGAGAAACTGCATGCAAAGTACAAAGCATAGGATTGTTCTGGAGAGATAATCTAGGCATTGGATAAAAAGAAAAGGGCAAGTTTCTAAGCCTCATGATTTTGACATTAACACCAGATCTCTACTAGTTCAGCTAGGTTTTTAGTGCAGTGCATTACTGATTTTCTTCCCCATGGCCAACTTGATAATGAAAGTACAATGCTGCAGGTAGTCCTCGACTTACAACAGTTCATTTAGTGACCATTCAAAGTTACAATGGCACTGAAAAATGTGACTTATGACCATTTTTCACATTTACAACCTTAGCACCATGATCATGTGATCAAAATTCAGATGCTTGGCAACTGGTTCGTATTTATGACTGTTGCTGTGTCCCAAGGTCATGTGATCACCTTTTGCGACCTTCTGACAAGCAAAGTCAATGGGGAAGTCGGATTCACTTAACAGCTGGGTTACTAACTTCACAACTGCAGCGATTCACTTAACAACCGTGACAAAAAAGGTCATAAAATGGATCAAAATTCACTTAACAAATAGTCTCACTTAACAACAGAAATTTTGGGTTCGATTGTGGTTGTAGGTCGAGGACTACCTGTATTTATAATTATTCTAAGAGAATAACAGTCTCCTTAGTATATAGTTTAAACAGTGCTATCAGAGAGTGTAGAGCCAATAAAAATATTGTCCCTAATGCTTCTCAGAAAATGAGTCCCAAGGTTTGTATGCTACACATGAGAAAGTTCATAGAACACATAAATTAAGACAAGCAAAGATAGCTGGATTGCAGGATGCAGCTGAACAGAGGAGTGGCTGGAGGTAAATTTAAAATAAGCATATTAGTATTATTTGTAGCAGACAGGACATAGCAATGGTTTATCCAATCCACAAATTGTTTTAACTTTGGCTGCTTCTATTACCTGGGTCTCACAGGACAGCTTGCGCAAAAGACCTAAGAAAAAAATGTTTCTTTAAAATGAAGCAGACATAATAGAGAACACAGCTACCTCAAGTCAAGGACTGCACGTGGGCAGTACAATAATTCTAATTCTCCAGGAGTTCAAACTGCCCTCAATAGTTCTTGTGGGAAAGTCAAGGACTCAGCTTTCGTAGATAAAATACTTTTATTGCAGAAGCTAAATAGCCACAGCAACTACAATCAGCTTCTACAGAACGTAGCCATACACATGTGTGGGAGCCCGAAGTCTAAATCCCCAGTTTCTTTATCTCCCCCCCTGCCCCCATCCATTCTTTTCTTGTAACAAACTGCCTGAAGCTCTTTTGGCAGGATGGACTGTTGATGGTCCTGGCACTGTGTTTATATAACAGTCTGGTGTGGTCTCAGGGTTCTTGTTTTCTGCCTTGTCAGTTCCAGCCCTCACAAAAACACTGAAGAGAGGGAAACTGAAGGCCAAATTAAATGTGCACCTTTGGTAAACATGAGGAAGAGGTGGTTTTATTTTATTCTTTCTAAACCAGAGATGGAAAGGGAATAAAACGGGGTAGGTGGACACAAGGCTGTGGTATAATGGTGGCATTTGAAGCAGATCACCCTGGTCCAGGGATAGGACACCTGGGCTCTTTTATGACTCGTGGACTTCAACTCCCAGAATTCCTGAGCCATGGCTGGCTCAGGAATTCTGGGAGTTGAAGTCCACGAGTCATAAAAGAGCCCAGGTTGCCTACCCCTGCCCTAGTCTGACAAACTCCAAGGATAAAAGGAAAACTAAGGTGAAAAGAAGAGCAGAAAGGGAACTATGGAAGGATGAGGTGGGGAAGGAGGCTGGGTTTTACTCCCATCTTCCACCCCAATTCAAAGCGAATTTCTGATGGCTACCAAGCATCTAAGGCAGGGGTGTCAAACTTGCAACATCACGTGACATGTCGTGACTTTTTTCCCATTGGCGGCAATGGGGTGGACGCGGTTTCGCCACGATGCATCCAGCCCATGAGCCAGCACTTTGACACCCCTGATCTAAGGCAATGGCCCTACTTCCACCCAACCAAGCTTCCCACTCCCCTTTGCTTTCTGTTTCTGTGTCCTCCACCCATCCTTTTCCCCTTTCTATTCCCAAACCAACATAGGCTTTCCTCAACTTATGTCATAATTGAGCCCAACATTTCTGTTGCTAAGCAAGACAGCTGTTAAGCGAGTTGTGCCCCATTTTACAACCTTTTTTGCCACAGCTGTTAAGGGAATCACTGCAGTTAACCGAATCATGCGTCTGTTGAGCGAATCGGGCTTCCCGCATTGATTTTGCTCGACAGAAAGTGGCAAATGGTGATCACGTGACCCCAGGACTCTGCAACTGTCATAAATACATGCCAACTGCCAAGCGTTTGAATTTTGAACCCATGACTCTGGAAATGTTCCAACAGTCGTGAGAGCCAGTCAGAAGTCACTTTTTCATTGCCGTTGTAACCTTGAATGGTCACTAAATGAATAGTTGTAAATTGAGGACTACCTGTACATCGTTAAACTTGCAATGTATTTTGCTTTCTTTCCATCTGATATTCCTCTACAATGGTCAAGGATGGCAGAAGAACAGATTCTAATGAAATGCAGGCAACCTATAGGTTTGGCTCCTCTGGGTGAAATCACACATTACACTAAGACAAAAGGTAGTTTGCCAATGGCTCCTCATAGTGTATGAATCCAGCCACTAGTTTCAAAAACCTGGTTTATGGCTCTCAACATGTACAGTAAACCAAGTCTTTGGCACTATGCTACACATTTGGTTCACAGTTCTCATGTCAGTCTGTTTGTTTACCTCATAAAGGAGGCGGGGAAAGGAAATGCAATTAACTCTTATCTACTTTGCTGTAGATGTTTCCTCAATTAAGTATAATTCCTACATCCAGCAGAAGAATATGTTTTGGAAAAAATATGCACAGCCACATTCCCCGAAGTGTTTCTCAGTTATTATCTCTATGAGTTATCTTCTGCTATAGGGACAAGGCCAGCTGGGTGATTCTAAGCCAAATATTAATATATTTCCAAAAATCTTACCAAGATAGCTATAGGGACTTGCCTATGTACAGTAGTCACCAAGAATAAAGAAAGATTCAGAGGCACCAGGGGAAAAAAGGTTTAAATGACTCATATGGCTTCAGGTAGAATTTTTTTTAATCTTTCAAATATTAAAGAAATAACAGTTTTATATATTAATAACTATGGGGAAGGAAAAAAATCTTACTCCAATTTAATGCAGCTTGACTTACACTTCTTGGGCACAATCTTAGCAAATGTGTTCACTATTAAATTTTAATTAACAAGGTTCCAAGCTTTAATCAAATAATCAGTGTCACTAATAATCTTAAAAATTGAATTACACTAAAAGTCTATCACAATATTAGAACAAAAAAGGTTCTAAGCTAAAGGTTTTAGCAGAATCTCTTGGTATGAAGAAAGCAAAAGAATTAATTTTCTTTCTAAGGCATTTTGCTATTCTGAGGAAAATTACTATTATTTTTCTGCTAACAGTTAACAGTTTTTGAAGGGCACTATTTCTCCCTATCCAACTAAGATGGCCACTGATATTATATAGGAGAAAGTCCTCTACTTATAAATATTCTCCACTTCAAACTCTAACTCCTATTTAAGATAATCAGAATAAGACCCTTGATATTTCAAGGGGAGAGTCCGAGAACAGGGAGATGAGGAGTTTGGACAGATGAACAAATTGGGGCTTTTAATAACAATAAGAGTTAGGCCATTAAAATAATTAATTTAATTATAATGAAATTAGTTGTTTTAATTAATTTAACCTTGGGATTGCCCTTAATTTCATCTGGTATCACTGCAATTGCTGACTGCTGGTTCCCATGATGGTGGAAGTGCAGACAGCTGCACTGGTTGCCAGTTTGCTTAAATATGCAATTTTCAAGGAGCTGATCGTCACCTAGAACATCCTTCATGACACAGGGCTTGGTTATCTGAGAGACCAATGGTTTCTTCCATCCAATAAGATCAGGTAGTGGGCAGACACTCCAGGTGCCTTCTATTAAACACTGTCACCTGTCAACCCCCCCCCCCCAGAAGTGCATCTTCTCTGTTGCAGTGCCTGCCCTCTGGAATAGTATCTTCCCAGAAATACATATCTGGGATCTTACAAGGGTTCCTGTAAGATAGGGATCTTCAAACGTGGCCCTTTTATGACTTGTGGACTTCAACTCCCAGAATTCCTCAGGCAACGTGCCTGGCTGAGGAATTCTGGGAGTTGAAGTCCACAAGTCATAAAAAGGCCACATTTGAAGACCCCTGCTGTAAAGGAAAGTCTTTAAACCATGATTGTGCTCCGAGTTCAGTTGTTGAATCTTTTTGGTGAATACATGTTTGCTCCACTCACGTGTGTAAATTTTCTTTTTTGCTGTATTTTTTTTCTTTTAACCATGTAAGCCTCCCAGCATCATTTGGGAGTTGCACAGCCTTTTAAAGTTAATAAATACATATTTACTTTTCAACACTTTTTCTTGATGATGTAGTAGTCTGTATAAAGAATTGAAAACTACCTGGATTAAACCATGCATATTTAACCCTGCCATGGGAAAAGGGTACCTCTGCAAGCCTGAGAATTAATTCACTGTCTCGTTTGTATTTTTTATCTTGTTTTTTTAAAAAATCAATTATACATGTATATAATTATTACAAATGAAATAATTCACTTTTAACAATATGAGATCCTTAGAATTTTAGATGCATTTTAGACTTGCATTTCTACAAAAATTTAGTCCATCTTTCTTCTAATCCAATCTCCTGTCAGACAACCCTATGATGTCACCATATATTTTCCCACAGTAAACGGCTTGCTTGATTGTTTCATGCTATACTGAGGACCTGTAAATAATCTGCTTAGGCATCACAGCCGAGCAATATTCTCTAAGATACTACCGTATTACATTTAAATGTATGTTAAGCAAGTATGTTTGCAAAGTGAGGAAGTCAGACCTAATTCAAAAGAAATATTTAGAAAAGAGAAGTTTCAAGAGAAGAAATAAAATGAATGTCTTCACTTGTGCAATTCCCAAATGAAAAGAAGTAGAAAAAAATAAGAACAGTAGTTTTGGTAACCAAACTTAAGTACACGAAGCTATCTCTGATAAGTCAATGACATTTTGGCAGAAGAATAATTCTTAAAGAGAAACACTGATCAGGTGATCAATGAAAGGTATTTTTTATCACTAGTGCTATTTTGGTTAGTGAAATCTTGCTGCTGCTAAAAAACTTTAAATAAGCCACTCTGTAAGATTTTCTTCACTGAGACAAAGATGGTTTATTAAATGTAAGTTTTCTTGCATTTCCTTCTATGTCTCCAAGAAATGTCCATGTTGTTGGGACTATGCATATTTGCTTAAGCAACCAGTTAAACGACAAATGACTGACCAACTCCTTACTTAGTTGCTTTAAAATCCCTACTATTAAGTTGTCTAATCACAGCTGTCTTTCCCTTCCCAGCTACACTGATTTGTATCCTCTGCACCACATTTAGAGTCCTATCATTTCTGAAGAAGAGGTTGGGTTAGTAGAATTATTTCAGTCAAAAGCGTTCCATAAACAAATACCACATTAAAAACCCTGCCTGGCACCAGCCGAGCTCTGAAAGTAGGCTAATATTTCTTATGAGGCATTTCAGAATTGTTGTTTTTTTCACTTGAAAAAAAATCAATGTTTTTACAATCTCCCCAAAGAATCAATGGCGTCTTTCTTCTCCATTCATTTAGAATAAATGCTCTTTGAGTTTGCATGAGCTAAACTTCTTTCTTCAGTTTTTTTTTTTTTTTTTTTTGAAGAATGAGTGGCTCTGTGGGAGGTGGTATTAGGAAGTTCATTCCACAAGACTGACAAACTTTGCCAATGCTCAAATACAGAAACTAACTAGCGGTGGCAATTATTTCAAGAACCACTCCATATAGGCTGCAGAAGGCAGCTGTAGACAGAACAAAAGGCCACAGCAGTTGTTACTGCACTGATCCTCTAGATCAGGGGTCCCCAACCCCTGGTCCATGGACCGGTACCGGGCCACGGCATGCCAGCAACCGGTCCACACAAACAAGCAAAGCTCCATCGGCAGGATGCAGGCAGCACACAAAACCACGCCCCCTCCGGTCCACGGAAAAACCTCTCTCCACGTAACCGGTCCCTGGTGCCCAAAAGGTTGGGGACTTCTGCTCTAGATATAAGTTCCCAGATCTTTTCATCCAGTAGTAAATATTCATCAACCATTTCTCAATCATCTATAGTTAATCCTTGATTTACAGACCAGTCACTTGGCAACCGTCTGAAGTTACGACAGACACTCCTCAAAAGAGTGTTGATGACTGGATTTCAAAGTTACAAAAGGCTGCACCTCCCCTCCATGGTCATGTCATCATATTTTTGGTCCTTGGTAACCAGCTCACTCTTACAGCTGTTTGCGGCATCCAGTGACCATGATTTTCTATGTTTTCTGGTATTTATTTCCGGTTTCCAGCAAAAAAAAACCACTACTGGATATATTGGATTCACTTAATGACTGCATTGTTTGCTTAATGATTGCTTCATGTGCTTAACAACTACTGCAAAGTGGTGACTCACTTAACAATAACAACTTGTGATCATAATTCTAGTCTCAATTACGGTTGCAAATTGAGGACTACTGTACCTAGTTTTAAGGCTGGAAGCAAAGCATAAGTTCTTAGCTAACTGAAAAACAATGGCAAAATGACGATTGCTCCTTCCAGCTTTTCCCAATTCTCAGTTTTATGAGATCAGTATTAAGATCAGTATGAGAGAAATCGAAAACAAAGCTATGCCTTACAATCCAGAATTCCTGAAAATCCACTGTGAAGTTTAGTGTCCAAATAAATATTGATACAGTAGCCTATGTTTCCCAACCTTGGGAACCAACTCCCAGCTATGCTGACTAGGGAATTCTAGCAATTCAAATCCATGCATCTTAAAGTTCCCAAGGTTGAGAAACATGCAGGAGTAGACTATTGCTATTACTACACTAGGAAATTTAATAGGTCAATTAATTCCGAGGCTTCAGAGGGCCCATTTTCATGTTTTAAACTAAATAAAAACTACTTTAGTAAGTGGACTTACCTCCCATATTTCCTTCCGGAACTACTGAAGTTCTCCTCTGTGTATTTTATTCACAATCCTTTATTTCTATTTATTTAACAATTAGACCCTTTATTAAAGTTACCAAGGTAACTTTATTATTATTGGAAATTTCTACATGCTTAGGTCTATAAGCCCAGTTCAGTCTCCCAAACTAATTGATTGAATGTTGGTTAACATTCACTGACAACACAGTTATTACATTAACTAGTTTTGTACCTCAGCTGCTGACTCCATCCACATTTGGTTGTGTGTATGCTTGCATACGATGGGATGATGTGGTTTTTAACTGTTGCTAGCCAGACCAGAGTCATGTATGTTAGATGGATGTCTATATAAATGATATAGCTAGCGAGAGAGCAAGCAAGAGAAAGAGAGAGAAAGAGAGGGACGAATAATCCCATATTCTGCATCCTAAGCAATTATACTATGAGAATAAAATGAGCATAAGGTTTTTAATAGGAAGGTCTGTAATTTAACAGCTCAGAATTCTTTCAGTCCTTTGCTTATGTTGAGGAGTAGACCCTTCCGTCAAATTCGAATCTACAACATTACAGATAATCCTCAATTTATGGCCAATTACTTAACAACCATTTAAAGCTTAAAGTTATGACAGACTCAAAAAAAGTTAATTACAACCCATCCTCAACGTTACAATCGTCGCAACTCCCTTAAACAGTCACATAATCACATTTTGTGCGCTTGGCCACTGCTTCATATTTACAATTGGTTGCAGCATCCCACAGCCACACGATCATGTTTTACAATGTTTTTTGCCACTTTCCAACACAAAACACCCATTGTATAAACTGGATTTGGACTTAAGACCATGTGATTTGTTTAAGAACTATACGATTCGCTTAATGACCAGAGAAAATTGCTTAACTACTATTGTAAAAAAAGACTCGTAAAATCAAGTCAGGTCACATGGTGACTCAATTTACAACTGTAACAATTTGCAACCAAAATTCTGGGCTCAATTGTGGTGAGGACCATCTGTAGTACAGATGAAAAGTGGCAGTCATATCCATAGCTAAAAGAGTGGAAGCTTCTTTCAAACCAATTTTTATTTGTACCAAAGAAATACATCAATATTGTTATTCTCTAAACAGAATTTTTAATCCATCTGGTTGCTGTCCAGATGCACGGACTTCAGCAGCCAGAGTATCCAACTGCATGGTCAGTGCCTGGAATTCTGGAAATGGAAATCCACACATCTGGAAGGACCTAGGTTGGGAAGGCTGCACCTCTGTCTCATAAAATTCAGAATCAGCATGAGCTCTTAAGTTAAAATAACACCGTATAATGTGTGAGGAGATGAAAATGACCCAAGAGTAGAAACATTGGTGCTTACCAGATTCTGATGCAGTTTCATTTTCTGATCCACCAAATAAAAAGTCATATTTGGCCTTGGCAACACTCTGGCAGTGAGCTGATGCACCATTAACCCAAACAAATGTTTCTCCCTGCAGACAGAAAGAGAATGAAAACATGTTCATTTCACCATGACACCTCCCACTAGCAGTCCCCATCTCAAAGCAACAGAAATAGGATTTTCAAAAATACATATACCGGCTTTAAAAGTAGCTAAGAGAGAACGAAAGAAATAATAGCTTCAAGATTTATTTCCAGCAGCATGCAACACCTCCTTTTTGCAGTTTATGGCTTTACACTAAAACTGCTATAGAATTAGCGCGCCCATCTTAATCACACTGTCTTGAGAAGAAGGATTTCTCTAGCAAGTCTTCATCTATATGTAGTTGGAACCTTCAACATGGCAAAAGAGTGCATTGCGGAACAACAAATGTCCGAACCAAGATATACCTTGTCTTTGGAAAGCCTTTGAAAAGGCAGTGCAGCTTTCCAAAGACATCACAGCTTTTCTGAAGACAGCAAACAGCTTTCCAAAGGCTCAGGGAGCCACAGGTAGGAAATGTTCACCAGAGAAGCCAGGTCTGAAAAGGAAACAGTATAGGCAGCAAAGTGCTTCTGCTTCAGCTGGGCACAAAATGCAAAAGGTCAGTGGGAGGAAGGGGGAGAGAACGTAGCTGGGCAAATGAATGCTGGCTGGCACTTGCTGGGGTAGAGAGTGTTGACTGAGGCTTCCCGGCGCATGGCAAGCTGCCCCAGAGCCACGCGGTTCACAAGACAAGGTGCAGAGTGTCCAAAAGGCAGAGAGGGGTGAGGGATAGGCAAGTGGGAGAAGTTGGAGGCAGTCTCTTATCTTATTGAGTATTGGGGCTGGGAGGAACTAAGAGTAGAATGGCTCAGATTGGGATGGATACTCACTAAATGACCCGTGATTCTTGGTCAGCTACTGCAATAGGGGAGTGGCAAGATTTCCACTGTAAGTTGATGCGGTCACGTGACATCTTGCTTTATAACTACTTCACTTAGGGATGGAAATTACAGTCCCAATTTGTGGTCGTAAGTCAAGCACTACCCGTATCGTAAACTGCATTTTTTTTTTTTAATGGTAACTACAGGTTGTTAGTGTTTAGAGGCAAAGCTGCCACCTTTTTTGCCTTACCAACTCTCATCTGCTATAGAAGTAGGGTGGTGAATAAGCCACATGTATTGGTGCTTCTGAACTTGTTGTATAAGAAGGAGGAAATATAACATAATCAGATTAGATTGATTTCAGCCTCATTAGGTGGACCAGACCAGGAAATCCACTCCATAGGAAGGCTCAAACTACTTTTATTGAGATTGACTACAATAGCTTTGTAGTCAATTGCGCAGTACCTTCTCCTTCTTTTTATATAATGAAACACAGAGGTGTCTGCATGAGCCATTTTCAAATATTACCTCATTGTTCTGGACTTACAAATGCTTCAGTCCCCTAAGTAATGGTTCCTACCTATTTTTATCAAAGTCATCTTCATTATTCTCCATCCCTGGCTGGGGTCCTCTAGAAGTCCTTCCCTAAAAGATTGCACAGGAAGGGCCAAATCTAAGTCGGAGAAAATAGTCCTGTAGGCATCCAAGGATTTCAAGTTAACAAACCAAAACTTTGAACTGGACTTAGATGCATACTGGTAACCAAAGACCACAAGGCAGCACAGCTTTGTCACTGCTACATTAGCTGTGTCAGCTTCACTATACAGACCAAACCAGGAAATCAGCTCTACAAGAAGGCTAGTTTTATTGTAGTTTTACTGACTGCCCGTAACAGAAAACTGAAAGTATAATTGCTTTACTCCCCACCCCTACCCCACCCCATCCCCTTTATGCTCGAGTGATTTAGGGAGGTGTCTGCCAAGTTGGCTAGTGGATAACTACTTGAGGATTTATTACATTTTTTCTTCTACTTGTCACTTTGATAACAGATCTGGCCTGTCAAAGTCAACTTCCTTATTCACCTTTTAGTCCGGTTAAAAAATTTCAAGTGATTTTCAAAGGCAGTTTTATGTAGAGCACAATACAGCAGTCAATTCACAAGAAGATCCGTGCATGAATTACTGTTGCCAAATATTCCAATCCCTAAATTGGCACCCACAAAACAAAGAGCGTCCTCTAGGAGGAGTAAGACTCTAGGTTAAGTCAAGAATGGAGCTGTGATCAAGCTAGATCAAGCCCCAACAAATAGTAGCTCCATCATGCAGTTGTTTAATCTGACCTTGTTTGCATCTATTCTAGTTCTTACAGCTTCCAGAGCGCAGTCTAGGACTTGACATTCTTGAACATCCCTAACCCAGCCTGGGTGGCATTGAATGAATTTTATATCAAAGACTCTTTTTATCGGAGAAAATGTTCCAATGACCAGGCCACTTGTCTTAGAATAAACTCTGCTGAACTTAGTACAATTTACTTCTTTTAATTGCCTCCTGGTTGTAGCACAGGATAATAATGGCATGGCACCAGGCTTCTTTTAAAACAGTCCTCGCTTTGTACTCTACCCCATACAAGGATAGTTCATGGTCAGTTGAAAAAGCTGAATGTTTCCCCCTATTAGATCTTGGACAACAGATTGAATAGTCAGTTTCCTTCTCTCAGAGACAACTGAATTTCTGTTTTTAGTCAGTTTTCTATACTTGCATCAATACATGTTAATGGATATGATGCAAAATTATGTAGCATCTTCAGTCCTACTATAGGCACTTCATGTCCTCTTTTTCAGCCATGCATTGATTGGACACTGTAAATACAGATGCAACATAAACTTTCCAAAAAAATGCTCCAGCTTTCTTCTGCATCATCTTTGTTTGTGTTTCTACAAGGGGAACACTAGATCCTGGAGGAGAATCATTGTTTAGGCTCTCCATGTTCTTCTTGTACGACTCCTCTGATACAGCATCTGATTCCTTCAGGCCCAAGACATGTACAATTATTTTTGCTGTATCTGAGGTTTGAAAATTGTCTGCGTTATGGTCTAAACCAGTGGTGGCGAACCTATGGCACGCGTGCCAGAGGCGGCACTTGGAGCCCTCTCTGTGGGCATGCATGCCATCGCCACAGCCCCGCCTCCCCGTGGCCCCCTCACCATCAGCCCCCCTGGAGGAGAGTCGCCCCCAGGTGTGACCTGCGCGGAGCAGCACAGCCAAGGACATGGCAGCCGGGCAGCAGGGATAAGACTCCGCCCTTGCGCCCCGTAGCATGCGGATGATGCTGCAAGGTGCGGGCGGAGGACATGGCCGCCATGGTGCTGCTGGGCCACCTGGGAAATCTGCAGTGGGCCGTGGAGGCAGTGGGTGACCCTGCAGGTGAGCGGGGCAGGGGCAGGGGATGGAGCAGGGGCAGAGGTGGGAGGGAAGGTTTTGGGGCACTCGGTCTCTAAAAAGTTCACCATCACTGGTCTAAACCATAAGACGCAATGTAAACAAGAGGCTTCGACGCAATGCTCAGTTAACAAAATGCACAGTGGCATTTTCAAACCACAGTAGTTTTTTATTATTGATGATGCCCAGTGTGTTTTGTTTGAAGTGGGCCATTTTATGCAATCTTATTCCATTCTGCTCTTTCAGTAAGGCTTTTATTGGACTAGGAACATCTTCTGGTATTGTTCCTCCTTCCTTTATATCAAGCCTCTGAGCTGGCAGAATCAGCCATGATCTGGGACTTCATCAGTATCTGGCTTCTCCCTTAGAAATCCCATTAAGTCTTCCAGAATCACAAGATTTTTCCAAGCACACTGGTTATTTGACCTCCTATACTGTTTGATCATTTTCTGAAGAACTCCTGGTTAGAAACTGGTGTGCACAATAGAGAGAGTAACGTAGTTTGATAAGAGTGGACATCAACTGGGGTCTCTGGCTATTGGTTTTTCTTCTACCAATGACCTGATTTGAACTTGTAGAGGAAAAAAGTGGCATCTAAATCAAATATACACTTGAAATATACAGTACTTTCAATCACACAGTTACATAAACCTTTATACCTTTCACAAAACAGGAGAGCTATCTGTGGAAAGTTTTCCTGATCATTTGCACTACAAAAACTGCAAATGAAGATTACATTTCTGTTCCCCCATTAAATGGGCTTAAACATTTTCCATTTTTCATTTTTTATATCATATAGGTATGCCACCCCTTATTTGTGCATTTTAATTCAGCAATGGCCAAGTTAGCTGGAGAATTATGGGAACTGAAATGTACAGTTAAAATAACTGTAAAATAAAAAATAAATAAAATAATTCAGACTGGGAAAAGCTGGCTGTTATGTGCAAAACAGAATCTAAAAGTACAATCAGGAAGTCACTGTGGTGAAGGCATGAAAGCTGCACATTCTGCATACTGAACCTCAAATCACGATTCAAGCGAACTTATTTCTCAGAAATCTGCGTAAAATTGGGTTACATGAGACTGGGTTGTGAAGCAAGAAGTCTAGGTCTGGTGTAGTGGTTAAGGCACCAGGCTAGAAAGCGGGAAACCGTGAGTTCAAGTCACGCCTTAGCCATGAAAGCTGGCTGGGTGACTTTGAGCCAGTCCTCTCAGCCCAGCTCACCTCACAGGGATGTCGTTGTGGGGAAAAATAGAAGGAGGAAAGGAGTATTAGCTATGTTTGCTGCCTTGTGTTACTTATAAAGTAATAAAGGCAGAATAAAAACATAACAAATAAATAAATCCAGATTACTGCTATAAACCCACAAATGGGCCTCAGATAAACCTCTTTTTCAGAGACTCAAAATACTTCTGCCAGATCACTTTTAACAGCTGACTCAGACAGTATATGCCAATAGAGGCCAAACAAAGCCATCACATATCAAGTAATCAAGAGCTCAGCTGATTTCAGTGGGACCTAGCCAAGATGTATACAAAAAAGGCGTTTCAGATTTTAAAGTCATCATTTTTTTTGCCACAACTACTTTTATGCATTATGCTTGGATTCACTGCCTTATAGGCACACATGTCCAAACAGTTAGACATCTACAACACAGAGTCATCTCACTCAGCATCTAACAAGCATTTCCAAGCACTGGAACACCAAATATTTGGCTGGTGGGATATGTTCTTTTCAATGGTTTTTATCTTAGATTACTACTTAACCAATCTGCAGTATCCTGAGGATGTCAATCATAATCAGACCTAGTCAGAACATGGAACAGAAGACCACAGAGTAATTCCAGATGTGTAGGACAGACCGAGAAATACAAATCATCCTTGAAAAGGGCAATAGCAACTCCCTTCCACAATATGGCCAAGAAGAAAATATAGATGTTTCTACCTAGGTACTAAGAGATGATCTTCTGAATGGAAAATAACTTCACTTTTGCTTATATGATGGGGCACACAATCATAGTAGATAATAAAGATTACATAAATGTGAAAGAACTATTAATTAGGCAAAGGGGCTGATACATACTTAAAGACCTTGAAAACAAGATAACATTTGGAAGCAGCTCATGCAGATACCTCTCTGATTCACTGACAATAAAGCTAACAAGATTCTGTTATTATAGCCAAACTCACTAAAGTATAGTTCTGATCTTCCTATGGACTTGATTTCCTGGTCTGGTCTACCTCACGGGGCTGACAATCATGTCCAGTGTGATTGTCTTTTGCTGAGTGTAAAATGATCCTCTAAAGGAAACAGCCAAACCATTCCTCCTTTTAATATTGAAAAGAGCCTGGAATCCTGCTGGGATAAATCAGACACTCCTTGAACATTTGCTTACAGTCCTGCATTACACACAGAAATAAATTTCTGTCCCCTACATCTCTCACAAGGCTTGGCCTGAGGAGAACTGAAATACAAAACATCCAGCAGGTACGGGGTTGCCTAATCTAGATGGCACTGTGTAATATTAGCTCACTGACTTGCGACAGACCTGCTGTCCTACATCTGGGGTCTTCCGCTTCTTTCTGCAGTGCAGAACCCCCAGAGTAGTCCCCCCTTAGCCACTGCTCCCAGCTGAAATCCATGCCTTACTCCTCCTTAAAATAATGGCTGTGCCTTAATGCCAAGCAGCTGTGAAAACAGAGCCAAATATCAACATCACTACCAACCGTTCCCAAGAAGTTTTCCTTTCTTTCGGGAGAAACTATTGATGAACATTTGAAAGCACCTTGATTAGTTGAACTCCCTTAGTTCATTGTTGCAATCTGTTAAACTGAGTTTGATCTCTAAAATTATAAATAGGACCCAAACAATCAGATGGAATAGGAAAAAGCTCATCACACATCACACTTCTTTGCATGTAAGAAGAACAAACAGGGACGGGCAGATGCTCACCATCAAACAGAAAAAGGAGAGGAAACCATATGTACAAAGACTTGTAAGTGATTACAAGATGTACAGCCAGCGTGCGCAAATGCTAGGAGCGGAAATGCATATTTGCATATGCTCAACAAATTAACCATTTTTACAGTGTGTAATTAAAAATTGAGGTGCTACATAAAGACAGACAGGTCCTGCCCCAATAGGTTTAAAATCTGATTGCCCACCCCATCCTGTGTATCTCCACTGGCAAGAAAGCTTCCTGGGTGCAATGGGATTTGCTCCTAGGTGAAAGGGTGAAGGATCAGGGGAACAAACGGAGGTGAAGAAAATCAAAGCAACAACTACAGCAAATGAGATGCAAAAATATGTCAACTTGCAAGTTTGTTTTGGCTGCTGAAGCACTTTCATTGTAAATTTTAGATATCTGTGCACTTTTTAATCCATGGATGATTCTGAAGGGATAGGTAGAAATTAGTCTTATTAAAGCTTGCTTAAAATGCTTTAGGTTAACATTATAACACTGCAAATTGCAAAGCGTATTACCAGAACAAAAATAGTTCAGATCATTTCTTTTTTCTTTTTCTTTTAAATGCACGGTAAGAATGCCAGTGTTTTCACACCTGCAATAAACCCGCCAGATAAATCAGTATGATTCCTATGATGGAAGTGGGAGGCGGGGAGAGAAGGAGAAGAAACATGTAATGAGTTCAACCTACAGGGGGGGAAAAATAATCAAGGTTTTCAAATCCAGGGCTGAACTACAAAGCTGGAAGGATGTATCATTACACGATTATAATGGTTTTCTTTTGCCAAGAGGCTCAGATGGAACCATCTCGACTCGTTCTCCCATCATTCTTCCCCTCACAAGAACCCTACCAAGTAAATGAGTCTCAACGCGGCTGAGTAACTTTGGGCACATCTGAGCCAAACCAGAATCTGAAGCCGGGTTTTCTCCACCTTACCATCGGGACTCATTCTTACAAGCCAGGCTTGGGTGTCCCTTCCCCAACCCCGCCACCCTCCACCCAAAAGTCATAAATCTGCTTAAAACGGGGCGAAAGGGGGGGGGGCTTGCCACCAGGACAGCGAAGAGACCTAATTCTTGCAAAGCCGACAAAGGGGGCAGCGCCGGCTCCGTCTTTTGTCTCCCATTCATTTGCCTATGGGCAACGGGGAGCCGATTCCTGGGGTGGGGTCCGGGGCGTGAAGAGCTTTGACACCTGGACAGCGTGGATGGGTAGAAGAAGCACGAGCCACGGGGCATCTCGGGTGACAAAGGCAAGCGCGGAGAAGAAATAAGGCACGGAGGGGGGAGGAGGAGGAGAGGAGGAGGTGAGTTTTTTGTTTTGTTTGTTTCGGTTTTCCTTACCCCACCGTCGCTTTCTTCCATCTTCCATCTCCCGCCTCCTTTCTCTCGCCCGCTGCAACAATAGTCCGAAGAGGGGTGGGCTGCCGCCTCTCTGGCCCCCCGCGCGCGGCGTCCCTCTTCTCCCACCTTTCTGACGCCGAATCCTTTTGTTAAGAGGCAGAAGCCGAGAAGCGCCGCTCAAAGCGGCTGCAGCAGCCGAGGCTGAGGACCGACTGGAGCTCCTCCGGCATTGGGCTCAGCAGCCGCCGCCGCCGCCAGCTCGCTCACACGGCTTGAAGGATGGCGGCGGCGAGGAGTCGGCATGACAACGCGCGAGGGGGGCATCCGCTCCCGAAGCGGCCGCCTCGCCTGACGCTGCCAAGCCGCCCCAGCCCGGAGGGACGGCGACTCGACCCTTCTGAGCATGTGCGAAGCCTTTCTTCCCTGGCCGCCTTCCCTTCAAGGGCCCGCACATGAGCACTGAGGAGCAGCGAAGCCGTGAGGAAGCGTTTCCTGCCCGGAGCGAAGCGAGGCTGGATTGAACCGAAGGGGAGCGGAGCTCGCACCTTTTCTGCCGCGTTTTTCGGGAAGGGCTGCTAGCAATGCCTTTCGCTTTGCCAACGAAAAGGATCGGGGCGAGTTGCCTCTGAATCCGAGTCAGGTATCTGCTGTTTTAGCAAAAAAAAAAAAGACGCCCGCGTGGCAAGGAAGTTTTGGGATCCGTGGATGGCGGGAACTAAGTTTAAAAGGAGGGAAAGGGAAACTTTCCCCTTCCCTCCTTTTAAAGGAAACCCCCTCCCGCCATGAAGCAAAATACGGGGCGAAGGGGCTAATTCTCGGGATAGCGTCCCCTAGAAAAGCGTACTCAAAGGAATAAGGAAGTGTATTCAACTACACGCTGTGGCTGCAATTCTGTACAACCTCCCAGGTGGCCTAAGATTACAACACACACACCCAGTTCCCCCAGTGTTCCACCAGGTGGGATTGTGGAAGCCACGTTGCACTTGTCTGGAGTGCACCACTTTGGAGAAGGCAGCTGCAGGTGGTGTCCCGAGAGTGATTTGTAAGAATAAGCATGAGTCTGTTGAAGTTGCTGGCGAAAATCATGCTGACATGTTGTATGCCTGTTAGAATCCATTTGGTTCCCAAAAAGAACTTTTATATCGGGCTGTAATTATAATTCCATATTGGCTACATTTGCAGGCCTGTTGCCCTGGCCTTGCCCCAAACCCGACCTAAAGACGACAAACCTGGGCTGCTGATGCTCCGGCCTTTTACGAGCAGGGAATATTATATATAAGTTTTATTGAACTTACTTTGGGTTTACGTTAAGATGTGTTAAATTTGCTGTTTCCTTCCCTAAAAGCGACTGCCAACATCCAGCCAAGCAGAAAACAGAAGCAAAAGATAGAAGAACAATAAAAGCAAAAGGCAGAAGCGGAAGACGGAAGCAGAAGATGAGAGATAGAAGCAGAAGCAGGAAAAGAAGTATAAATATAGAAGCAAAAGAGGATAGAAACAAAAGAGAAAGAAGCAGAAGATAGAAGCAAAAGGAGAAGCAGGAAGAAAGAAGCAGAAGACAGATATGGAGAAGCAAGAGGAATGCATTACTATTTATCATGGGAAATAAAGATGCTACCTACCTCCTCTTTCCGTTGGTGATTCGGACCAAGTTTTTTTTTCATATGTGGGCTTGGATTTAAAAAGGGAACTTGTGCTGCTAACCCATTCCTTTCCTACCTGTGGTAAAGCTGCTTTCCTACTGGACAATGGCAAGACTTTCTTTCCAACACTTTGCCTTTGGCAACGGTACAATGTAATGTGGGAAAACGAGGCTCTGGGTTGCATGAACTTGCATGAGTCCCTTTCTGGAATCAAAGTGTTAAACCACTTTTTACCCCTTTACACCTTATTCTATACTGTCTCTGTGCCTCAGCCTAAGAGAGTGACCTTGAGCAATAAAATCGATCCTTCTCCAGGATACAGCTTACCAAGTTCTCCTACCTTTAAACTTTCTTTGCTCGGGAAAGAAAACGGTTCAAAATGGTTACCTTGGATTTTGGCTTCTAACCCAAAGGATCCTTGGTGCTAGCTGGAGTCCTTTCAACAGACGGCCTCTGTAGTACTTTGACCGCTTCCTCCAAATAACTCATGGTTTTATATAATAACAATTATCTTATGCATTCTGCAGAATGGATCAGAAATTACTTTTAATGGCTGTGTTGACTTTTAAGAATTGTATTTATTCTGAAGCCATACTTTAAGATAAAGCCCTCTCCCGTTTGTATATGTATTTTGAATGAGATTGATAGCACTCTAGAAAGGTACGTTTTCTTGTTTGAAAGGTTTTTCAGAGTTACTTTTGCAGTGTATGTAAAAATGTAACATTGTTTACAATGAGGAAATGGTGTCTAAGTGAGAGGGATGAAGAAGGCTGAAGCAGGGAAATCCTGATGACCTGGAACCGAGGACCGCCCTACCTCTGTCCTGCTATGTACTCTTGACTGCCCCTTATCTCTCCCCTATGGAGGCTTTGGCCAAAGTTCTTGAGAAACTTAAAGAGAAGGTGGAAAACCTGACTTCCTTGATACCTGTGGCGACTTGAGCTTCAAAATGCCACGAGGGACTCGGTTTTAAACACTGCAGGCTTTGATCTTATGGAAGAGCATGGCTCTTCCTTAGACCAATTACTCCAAGGGGAAGAAGGTAAGTTAGAGAAGCGATCAAGTTGGTCGACCTGGGAAATGTATAGCCTTGCCTGAAAAGATGCAGAGTGGTTGGAGTTAGCTTTCTTTGAAGTCACTCTGCTTTCCCTGCTGGGTCTGCAAAAGAGAGGGTGAGGGTCCCATAATCGGCAAGGGGAAGACAATCTAATCTTAAGTGCCTAAAGCTCCATGAGCTTTCACGAGTGGAAATCCTGTGGTGGTAAAATCCTATCTGCTCACATGATGCCTCGATTTACAAACTCTGATCGCTTACTGCATAAATTCTGATCTCTGCTGGAGTTGTAACTCGACTACCTGTGCAATCTGTTTTTTTTTAAAAATCCAATGGGACCAATTTCTAATCCCAAAAAATCCAATGGGACCAATCAAATAGCAATGGAGCTTAACTTTGAATATGTTCACTGATTTTAATTTCCTCTTATATTTTGTGTCCATGATTTATTGTGACTGACTGCCTTCTGGCCAAAATTAAAGGTCCTGGTGTCCTTCGGAACCTTGAATGGCTTGGGGATTATCCCACGAGTGCCCTCCCAAGCTATGAAGTGGTCCGGCAAGATCTGCCCTTTCTGGGTTTTCTGGCAGGGAGGAGGGCTTTCTCTGGAGGGTGCAAGGTTAACTTTAGAGCAGTGTTTCTCAACCTTGACAATTTTAAGGCATGTGGACTTCAACTCCCAGAATTCCACAGCCAGCAAAGCAAAGCTTTGTGTGTGATGAGTTGAAGTCCACATGCCTTAAAATTGTCAAGGTTGAGAAACACTGCTTTAGAGAGATGCTCTTCTTCCCCTGTCCAGTGGTTTTTAACTGGACTCTAAAATTTTGGCCTGTGCCAAGCTTTTCGTTTCCAATTTATTCCCAAGTTTGACACCGATATTGATTGTAGCCGGACCTTAGCTTAAATTTTCAATCCTTTTTATACAGATTTAAGCTGCCTCAAAGATGGAATAAACAGAAATTAAGGTTACTTTGATGGGCACTAACTTTTGATTATGTATGTTTGGTGAGGTTTATCTTTAAATTTATTGCGATGGTTAATATATTAAAGTGAGTAAGTAGGGTTAGATTTTACTTTTGCTGCTAGTTTTGAAATTGACAGGATTATTAAAATGTTTTATGTCTACCTAAATCAGCCATTTCTTCCATCTTCAAGGCACTCTTACAAAAGTAAAATCAAAAATATAAAATGTACGTTAGGACATCAGTATGCTTAATGTCAAAAGTAAATGTTGGAATAAATTGACAAACTGTTGAAGGCTTCAAAATTAGGACCTTATTCTTCTCCGGGAAGGCCAAGGATAGCCGGTGGGTGCAAAACTCACAATGGTTGTCTGACAGTTCACAGACCTTGAGCTGGTCCGCACCCAAGCCACTGCGGTTTGCACGAGTAGTATTTACCGGATGGTTATGTAAGTTGACGATTGTATACTATATTCCTTTTAATTGAGATGGGTTGCCATCCAGGTGTGAAGAACTGTAGCTGAGTCCTGCTGGCCGATGAAGGGCCACACTGTCTTCTAGCACCTGTTGTGTAAATGTGTTTCTTGATGCAGCCGCTGCTTGGATAAACACAGCTCAATGCTTCTTTCTGTCTCCATACAGACATAAGCCTCTGAGATGACCCCACACATATGAATTTCAGGAGGATTGCTCTTGTCCTAAACAAAAAGAGAAACGCAGGCTAATTATTTGCAAGAATGCGATATGTTTCCCTTGATTAAGGGAAGAAACATAACACAAAGCACCCAGCTCCTTACCTCTAAACTCCAAGCTCTCACTGTCCCCCACACAAAGGAAAAAGCGGCCTTCTTGGCATTTCTCTTTCCCAAAAGGCAGGCTGATGAAAGGTCTTCAAAGAGGGCTTTACCTGCATCTGTCGAGCAGCTTAGTTCTAGAACAGGGGTGTCAAACTCAATTTTATTGAGGGCCGCATCAGCATTGCGGTTGCTCTCCGGGGGCTGGGTAGGTGTGGCCAGGGTGGGTGCAGCCTTCTGGGTGGGCATGGATGGAATAGGTGTGGCCTACTGGGTGGGTGTGGCTAGCTCTACATGGTTCGCGTCAAGGGTGCCTGTGGGGGCCTGGGCAGGAGTGAGACAGATCTGAGAGTCTCTGGCAGAAGGGGGTGGGACCAGGGCAAGTACCAAGGCATGGTCCACTGGAGGAGCCTCACTGTTCCTCTCAGGCCATGCGGGGGAGGGGGGGCTTATGGAGCTAAGACTAAATGCGTTTCAGCATAGATGGCCACCACAAAATTGTACATTGGCTCCCAGCTGGCCTGGGCCAGGGCCAAGGCAGAGGAGGCCATTCCCTCACTGTTTCCAGAATGGCTTCGCAGGCCACATGAAACCACTTTGTGGGCCGCATCCGGCCCCCCGGGCCTTGTGTTTGTCATGTCTGTCATGTAGACGGGATGAGTTATGAGAAGAAGAAATATATCTTTCTAGAGGTTGATGAGTTATCAAATATGTTTTACTTGTGATGAAAACTATATGGCACTTCTTCACATATTGTTTTTTTTATTATTTGTTCCTTTATTAATTTTTCTTTCTTTATACTTTTGATTTTTTTCTACTTTTTTTTCTTTTATGGCTTTAATTTGTATTTGTTTTTACTATCGTATTTAAAATCTTTAATTAAAAAAATAAAATCCAAAAGAGAGTAAAGAGAGAAAGAATGGGCTCTCAGATTCAAACAATAAAGATGATCCAGGCCACAAGCAGCTTACTCTTTCAATATGATACTTGCTTCATGAAACCAGTATATGAGAATGCAAGATCAATAAAATACTATATTGATGTTTTCACAACTTTCCATCAAAATTAAATATTACAATAAACTTAAAATACTAGTGTTTTAGCATTTGCATGAGGTAAAGACCTTTACTAAGCCTAATGTTTGCTAGTTTCTGAAAAATGTCAACTTAGGGTACAATAGAAAGCAATCATCATTAAATATCAGATGAGTAAAATCTTTGAACAGTGGGAAAGAATCCAGCTGAAGATCTAGAGGGATCATGGCTTTTAAAAGGTGTATGATTGGAAGCTAACAATAAAATATGATAAAAAATGGGAAGCACTCTAACATCAAAATATCTAGTGAAATATTTAGAAACATTTCCACTTCAAAGTCTCAGATCCCTATAAAGATCCATCCACTCTCAACTCCATTTTGTCAGCCACCCCAGAAACGTGTTGCTGTCACTGAAGTTTCTGACAACTAAATAAAGAGAACTCTTTTCCAACATGTGGCCTGCCTTCAGCTCATTTCTACAGCATCCTCCCAGCTTGGAACAGGATCTGGCTTTTCTGTCTGACATAGCATTGCTATACTCTTTATTTATCAAAGGTTGATCTAGAGGGAATCCCTAGAACTTGTTCTGTCTTGTGCGATGCTTCAAAAATCTTCATGTAGGAACAGGAAATCCTAGGATTTTTACAAAACAAAGTATGACCCTTATAAAAATCCCTTCTACATCTCTCTCTCTCTCTCTCTCTCTCTCTCTCTCTCTCTCACACACACACACACACACACACACACACACACACACAAAAATCCAGGATAGAAAATACACAATCACACAGACACACACAAACAGAGGATTTACTTCTCCCATAGTGCTTAACTGGCTGATGGAAGGTGGTGAAATGATGCCATACAAGCTCTTAGTCCACCCTAATTGCCTGCTTAATTATCCAAGAGATCTTGTTAGAGATTAAACTAAATGCTCCTAGTCCACTAATTCCCATTATTTATGGAGGAGTCTGTTCGTTTTCCCTTTCCCAAAACTGAGAGTTCTTAAGATGCAGAGAGGCTGTGCAAAAAACAGGAACCCCAATCAAGAGAAGAAGCATAGTGAATAATGCCCTTCTAAGTTTATTTACAGCAACACCAACGTGCATTGTGACACTGTGGATTCTTTTTTATTTAAAAAAATAATTCTTTCCAAAAGAGGGTGGGGAGAGATTTAAAAAGGATGAAAAGAACAGATGGCTTCATTTGTAGCAGATAGAAAATCATTCCCCATACCCCCCCCCCAATGGCTCCACACGACAGACCATGATTCTCTGTTGTAGTGTGAGAACATAGGCGATTATTTGTATTTATCCTACATTTTTTTAAATGTAAAGTTTTATTAGCTTATAACATATGATATAATAAAAATCCAAACGTAAACAGCGGAAAAGATGGGGAAGGGAAAAGGGAGTAGAGAAGTGAGGTAAGGAAGAAAAAAGGGGGAAAAAATTACAGTGGGAGGTCCCAGAAGTCGTCTTCCAGGCTGCTCAGTTCGTGCAGGGTGGCTTCCTCTTCGTCAGGAGAATCCTGTGAATGACAATGGTTCCTCTTTAGCCATCAGGACAAAAGAGACTCAAAATTCCTTAAAAGAGGCCTATTGAATGGGGATGCCCGAGCAGAACAATGCTTCTGTTGCTGGATACATCTCCAGCAACAGAAGCATTGGTGGAATCCCCAATGGTGGAATCCCCACATCCAGCCCATCCATACTCCAGAAAAGGAGGCTCTCTACTCTTTCCGTGTTAAAACCCTGCCTGGAAGCAGCAGAGTGCTGCAGAGGATGAGGCAGAAAAAGGAAAGGCATAAACAGAATGGGTTACATCCATTTAGGACACCAGTCCACTGCAGCGGGCCCGTCCCTGGTGTTTTCCGGTAAATGAACCAATCACAGCAGAGTTGGGTGCAAATAGTTAACCCAAGTATGTTGTCCCAAGGGCCAGCTTTCATCTTGCTCCAGCACCCGGAGCATTCAAGCACAGTTCACACAGGTTAGGAGAACTGAATAGAGGGCCTCCATCCCTCCCCAACAGAAAACACTTTGTCTTTCTTACCCAGGGACTAGAAGAGAGGTCGGCCTCAGAAGCCACTGCATCCAGGTCCAGGCTTTCCTCTGACTCCTCAGAGGAGTCCACCACCTCTAGGCTACTGGTCCTGGACCTGTCCAGGGCTTCCATCGAATCCTGCAAATAACAGTATTTTTTTTATTGAAAAGTTTTATAAAAGTTACAGTATACACCCCAAAGCCCACCCACCCTAACCCCCCTCCCTCCCCCACTTCCCAGAGCTGAGTACAGGGTTACAAATATAATAATCATACTCTAACTAACATTAACCAACTATATAAATAACCAAGTCCATAATGTGTTTTAACTCCCCTTTAACATAAGTATAAACAAATTAAAAATAAACATAATAATATAAACAAGTTAATATCCTAATTATTAAACAATACAATATCCAAATTGTTAAACAATACTAATACTAAAAATAATAATAAAACTAATAAAAATTCTCCTATAATAAACTATTAATAATAATAATACTCTAAAATTTACTCATAAACTAAATGGAACTTTTTAGTCCCATATTTATTCTGAATATAATCTATCCATCTTCTCCAGACTGAAATGTATCTTTCTTGTGAGTAATCCTTCAAATAAGCAGAAATCTTAGCCATTACTGTCGAGGAGATCGGCCACCTCCTCCTTTATCTCTTGTGTCGCTTTTTTCAAAGCATCTTGAATATCTTTAAGCGTAAATGCTGATGGTGGGGGAGAAAGTGGGGGGGGATGTAGGTTTAGTTTGCAGTGCAGGCTGTGTTACAGGAGAAGAAATTGAACTTTTAGGAATAGCAGAAATTTCAACACTTTGAAGCCATTTTCCTGCCTGTATAAGTCCACTTCTTGTAAAATCAACTATTACAAAGTAAGAAAGTAAAAAGTGAAATCCCAGGAAAAAGAAAAAAAAAGAAAAAATATTCTGTAAAAATTCTTGCTTTTTAGTAAATAACCAAAGTCTAATACATTGTTTAAACTTTGTTTCCAAATGTAGCTCTTTCTTGACACTTCCTTTCAAACAAAGAAACAACATTCCGGCGCCATTTTTTCCTTTAAGTCAAATTAAAATATGGAGAAGATTATTTCTCCCCGAGTTAAAGTTTCAAGCATTCACAATTTTAACTTCTCCTGGTCAGCTCTGTCTGCTTTTAAATTACTCATAAATCCCTTTGAAATGCAGATGTGGGTGCGGCGTCTTGCTTTACTCCTGAAGCTCAGAGCAAAGGTGTCCTGGAGTGCAGAGAAAGCCTCTGGCTTCGAGGGAACTCACACCCTCTGACCTCCAAATAATTAAGGAGGTCTAGGGGAGCTCTACCTCTATCTGAGGTAAACTCTCCCCCCCTCTTCTCCTGAGGAGGAGGTTTCCAAGGTGCGGGATAGTTGATTTTCACTGTCTCCGTGC